GAATTCTAATCAGACTATCGAGTTTTTATCTTGTTTCTATGTTTCTGGCTATTTGTGTTTGTTACTTGTGTTCTTTTATCCAAAACTGACGAGACCCTGAGGTTCAGAGAGGCTAGCAATATGATAAAGAAAAGAGATAGTTGTTTACTGTTATATCATAAAATAACATAACTTGCTGGAGAAACAGTAAAATAAATTAGAATGTGTAAAACCCGAGGAAGATAAAATAAAACAAAGGCAAAGCTAAGATTTAGAGGGCTGGCAATGACGAATCTAGTTTTCCAACCCCCCCACTTTCGAATTTGGTGTCCGAGTGGATCGAAGTCACGTTAGCTCAAGCGGTTGGTTAGAACAGCGGCGTATTGAGCCGAAGGTCGTGGGTTCGAATCCCGCTCGTGATACTAGCTTTTTCATTTCAACCAATACCTTAAATGATGAATTAATATTTTTATTGACACAATTAAGAAAAAATTGTTAAAACATTTAGCGAGTAATACTTTATATATTTAATAAATGTTGAAATTTGATCATTATGGATCACTTTGGTCAGCCTTTCCTCACTTGGTTGGTGGTATTTTGGTTAAAACCAATCACTGAAGCGAAATGCTGAAACGTGTCTAACAGACCAATCCAACTAAGATAGGCAGACCAAAATGATTCGTAACGACCAAGTTTTCTGTCCTTCACCCTGTAGACTGGAGAAATCTATATCAATACCGCATTTATTATTTCTTTTCTTATAAAACAAATATGATCAATATCATATCAGCAGTTATTTTATTTATTTAAATCAACGAGAATCGGTATTAAATAGGGGCTTTCGATGGGGCACATCGGACATGGACAGGTGTTACTTTCCAGATGTATAATTTCTCCTTCTTCAATGAATTTCTTCATAAAAAACATACAATTTCTCCAATTTGTTTGTGCAAACTATATCTCCCAACAATGGTCTGCATTGTGGACCAACAGATTAAAATATATACAATAGAGATATGACACTCATTTACAGCCTGTTTGGCTTTGGAGTTATATTGTTAGTAATTATTACAAACAAGATTAGGTCAATACAGTATGCAAAAGATCAGACGACAAAAAATCATTTTATTTTATTTTTTCTCTAAAATATACTGTGTGAATCATCGAGAGTGAGGGTAACGGCACAGTCTCGACGGCAGGATTCTCCCAGTCTCACCATTTTATAACGCGCGTCGGTAATTGAGGTGGACTCTCACGTAGACCGTTTCTTGACCTCGAATATCCAACAAAGCTGAGCCGGGGACAACCCGTTTTCGATCTAGACGGTTTTGCCGATCCCACACTACAGAAGAAGCGGTTCAGTTCTCAAGATTTACTACAGTTGAAGATCGGGCATTGGTTCTGATCATTTATAAACCAACGTGTTGCCTTTTTTTGGAAGGATCAAAATTATAAGCTAAAAAAAAATATTTCTAATTGACTTCTTCGTTGGTGTCGTGGCCTTTGCATCCTCGCAGGAAGAAGCTATCCCTCGTCTACCCCGCCCCTTCTAGGTTCAGAAATTGGTAGCTAACGAAATATGATATAACTGTAGGAAGAAGATCAAGAAATATCTTACTTTTACATTCTAATAGCACACAACTCAAATCTTCGGAAGTTTAGTGAAGAGAAAGAAAAAAATCTTATTTTATTATTATTTTATCTAAAGAAATAAACACCCATCTAAATTCTAGGATTTGACCTGATAATAGGAGAAATTTTTGAAAAACATAAAAAAACTACAAGAATTTAAAAAAGACTAATTTATTTAACGCAGTTGCAAAGATTTAGGTGTATTCCTATTGTATGGAAAGTTGAAGACAGTAGGTAGACCACCACACGAAGTATCATCCTATCGCCCTATCTCATTGCTTCCAGTTATCTCAAAATTATTCCAAATATTTTTTGCTTAAAAAACTGAAACCTTGGTAAAGAAGTAGAGAAGACACCAACACAGCTAAACAAACTATGACTCACATTTGCTCACAGGAGGAATGTTTTGGGATGTTTAATGCAACCGTAGAAGAAATTCAACCACTGAAACTATGCTTACTAATCATGCACCTTGATGAACTAGGACTCACCGGTGTGCTTTAAGCACAAAACGGGGGGATACAATAGCCCTTTTACAATATACTTATGTTCTATAAAATAGAGGAACCAGATCCCTGGCCTTGGAACACTAATGGCTCAAGCACCTCCTTCTTCAATCATGTTAAGAGCTGTATTAGGCATAAATCTTGCAGTGTTAACACCTTGCAGACATATTTTATGAGCAACTCCAGCGTGGATACGTTAGGGATTTGTTTCTATGGAAAGCATGGAATTTGGCGTTGACTCTGGGAGAACCATAGATCTCACACGCACAAGTGAGTATGGCTCGGCATGTCCGCTGAACACCCCATCCTCGCGGACCAGGTAATCAATTAATCAACAGAGCCCCGTATAGAATTAATTAGCTATAGGAATACACTGTAGCAATGATCGGCATAAACATTTTCATAACGTTTTATAAATTAAATAATTATTTTTCAACTATAGTCCGGAAATGGGTTGCCACGGTCCAAAGCGTTCTGATCGTTAAACGAACTGGCGTTTTACACGGTCTTCACGGATTCTCTGGGAACATTCTCCTTCAAAATTGCAGACCGGATCTATGAAGGATCTGTCTGTTTCCATAGTTTATTTAATCGCCGTCTTCAACAGTCTTCATATACCGTTACGTTTATAGGTTTTTTTGTCCCCTTTGTTTTTAGGCCGGCTGTCGAAACTATGTCACTATTATTCGAGGACAAATCCATAGGAAAAGGATGCGAGGCCGGCTGTTGAATATCAATAAGTTAATATCTAATATTAGTGCTGTCGCGATTGTGAAGAATAAAACCCGTACCCCAAGCCAGAAAATCATCCACGGATTAGACAGACGATTCTCTCTCACCACATGCTCACGCACGTGGGTTCGATATTTTTATATTATAGTTAGTTTTTTTTAGTGAAACACTTCTGAGATGTTATATTTTATTAAGAAATTGAAATTGAACAAACCAATTTGTAACATGCATTATTAAATTTTATTAAAATACTAGCATTTATCTATCAGCGTCATCGTCCTCGCGGGACTCTGTTTTAATGTGCTTTTCTTATGTGATGCTTGTACGGCTTTCTAATATAATTTTTCGTTTCTCAAATTCTTCTTTTCTTCAGTTCACTTTGGTCTATACATGGTAAAAACTTGTCTATTTGATCCCTGATTCTTAGTGGCTATTCACGTCATTATAGGAATGCACTGTCGAAATTTCAGCCCTTTAGATCCCGCGGTTTGGTCTGTGCATTGTATGTCAGTCAGTCTCAAATACCTTAAAAAAACTCAATTTTTGCCTCATTAAAACTCAATTTAGTTAACAACCTCCAAGGGTAATAACTAAGAAAACTTGTAAAATGTACTGCTGAATATGTTACATGGGAGCCTTTCTTGATGTTCTATAAGTGTCCGCATGCGTGCAAATTAAAGCGCGTCCTTCCAAATACTCTGCTCTTATTTAACAAAGCGGTTTTTTCAAGTCTGATAAGGATCAGATTACTCCTAACAGTGCCCTGAGGCCGCGGGAGTACCGCAGGGCAGTGTTCTTGGACCAATCCTTTATTATACGAATGTTCCCACTTCACCTTCCACCCTCCTTTGTTTTTTGCTGATGACACAGCTGTACTATCCTCTAACCCCGATCTGAAGACATGTTGCATGTATAGTAGATTGATGTAGACAATGGAAAATGAAGGTAAATGAAATCAAGTGTGTCCATAAACTTTAAAGCAATCTCTAACATTCTACTACTACAATGTTCCTATCTCAACTCTGATTGCATTCACTATCATGGGTGACATCTAGACTCATGCTTAACATGTAATCAGCATACATAAATGAAATGACAAGGCCTAAACAGTCACTATGGTCAACTTATAAGTCAAATTATAAGATGACAATCCAAACCATCGACAAAAAAGCAAACCCACAATCCATAAAATGCTACTACAACCGATTTGAACAGAACTGTGGTAAACCTATACATTCCAATGTCCAATATCTCAATCCTTTCAATCTACTGTCTTCAGATGAATTATAAATAGTCCGTATTATGTCTCCAATATTACCCTTCACAACTTAAAATCCCATTAATAATTCTGCAAAAATTTACCAAGTTCCCAATAAACTCTTCCAACACCCTAATAGTCTCGCCCTAGCCTAGTCCAATAGAACACATCCTATAAGGTGTCTGAAGAGAAAATGGCCCCATGACCTCTTTTCTGAGGAGTGGGTAATGAAGTTTAGTTAATAAAATGAAGTAGGAGAATAATATTGATTATTTATTCCCCGTATGAAAATATATAAATAGTCATATATGTCTAAATATGTTTATGCATCCACAAATTGCATGTTGTAATTAGAAATTGCAGATTGTAATAAAATATTAAATTAATTAAAAAAGATAATTGTTTATTCACGAATTCCATTTTTATTTTTAAATATGTTTTACTATTATACATTTGTAAATTGAAGTGCTCTGGGGTGATTGGTAGAGTTGTGCACAGATTCACTGTCTGCGATGAGTATTGGTATTTCTCTTTAATTCGGGGGTGCCCTTTTGGCTCAGTGAGTGTATGTACATATTTAGTTGTATACTTGCGATTGAATTTCTATTTTTCTTTAACTTTGTGTATTGAGTTTTGAGCAATTCCCAGTTTTAGAAACTCGACTGTATTTTAACAGGGATTAGGAAGATCGGTGATGACAAAGACGATGTTAAACAAAATTTTGCCGATTTAATTTTGAACCCTGACAATTCTTTCCTTTGACTAACTTCACAAGAAACTGTTTTTAATCAAAATTTAAATGAGAACTAACCATCAATGATCAGGGACCAATCGAACGGGTTCTTCTTTTCAAACATGTTTTTCCAGCACAAATAAAAATTGGTTTGTTTCAGTTGCTGAGTAGTCTCATGCTCATCAATTGCAAATTTGACTGGGCCGTCGGTGAAAATATCGAAGGCAATGAGAAGTGTGGAACGAATGGACAGCAACTCAAGTACATTTGGGGAGACGCGTTTACGGACGCCCCGAATTGCCTCGGGCCCAATAACATGCCATATCCCTCGTAAGGCCGACAAAAAAGTTATAAAAGACTTAAATTAATCTTGTTGTGTATGAAATTTCTTTCCCAGGGCACAAATATCGCGAAACTTCAGAAAATCCAACAGCATCTGGGGCATGAGCTCGAGATACGGGCGGACTGCGAACATGGTGATTGATCCGTCCATAACTCAAAATGTGCTCATAAAGGCCCATGAAGCAACTAATTCCATATCTGGTGAAAACCAGCGATCAGGTGGGTTACTGTTAATTATTGTTTAAAACTTTACATATATAAACTTAAATCATGTTGGGAGGAAAAGACATCTTTCTTTTTTTTTCTTGCACAACCATCATTTTTGACTGTAATAAGTTGCTGAGTTTTCAAGTAGCTTTTACTCTGTTATTTCTAATTTTTCTCCTTCAAGACGCATACATGGATTTTCTTTCAGGCCTAGGGACAACTTTATTGTTATTAATATATTTTAAAACAGCCTTAAAACATTAATTCACATAGCAAACTGTATTAACTGTTTAAAAAATTAATACTACAGTTGTATCGCTTTTTTACAATCAGGTAGAGATTATTCAACAAAAGATTCTTGCCCGACTGGGCCAACAAGACTGTGTAAAACTCGGTACAACACGACAGCACCGATGTATGGCGTCTCGCTCACCTCTGGTCAACCAGTCACTATTGTGCAAAAATTTCCAGATCTTTTGCAGCAAGTGGTGTATGAAGTTTGCGAGTAAGTATTGTAAGAGTTTTTGTACCTTTTTTATCTGTATTTTATTTTATCACTTTTTCAAGTTATTACAAAAATAGTTAGGTCATTAGATTTAGAAAGTAAAATTTTAAAGACCCTTGAAACAAAAATAATTGCATAGATAAAACGGATTTTTTTTTCCATTCAATGCAATTTTAACTGGATTTCTAAGTTTAGCCAAACCATAATTTTTTTTTGTCTTAAACAAACTTGATATGTGATATACTCCCTTGTTCATGATACTATCTTACTACTTATACATACCATTGCTTCCAATCCATACCTTGTTCACTTTTGGCAGGACTTAACCTTCAAAAGCAAAGAAATTGGTCATGACAAATTTCTTACTTCTAAAGATTATTGGAGAGAAACTAAATTACAGGCAGAAAGATAAGTTTCTTTTAACTGAAAATAACTGCCTAAAAAGTTAGAAAAAAAGAGAGAATTAGTATTATAAGAATGATTGTATCATATGTAAAGTATTGAACTTTAACATAAATGTTTAGCCTTTGCAATGGGATCTTCACAGATTCCATATAATTGCTTAATAAATTTAATTGATTGCATTTACTTGTTTTGTTTGGCTATATTTTGCCAAATTTTTTCTGGGCCAGCTAAGTACCAGGGCTATTGCCAGCACCTCATGTTTTCACTTTTCAATACCTCACATTTTTTTTTTTAGAACAAAAAGAATTGGCTCTTTCTGTTGGAATTTTGGGATTTGATTTCTACTCATATTTACCCCTTCACACATGGTGAAAAGGCTCGACAACTGATGAAACTTCAAACTTAGCCTAACCTTAGTTTGGTGGGTCTCAGGGTATTTGATATTCTGCTGAAGGCCCGCCCTCATTCATGTTAATAAATACAGTCATATTGATATAACCTTTCATATCATATGCATAGCTAAAAATTGGGGTGTTGCTAGGATATTAATATTACGCTCATGCCTTCTCCCTTTCACTCTAAAAACACCTAACCTAAAGCTAATCTACTTAGGTGGGTCTGTGATATTCCACCATGACCCACCCACACTTGCTCAACTCACGTTCATAAACACATTCATTCAAGACACAAAACACCCACAGAAAAATCCTACCTAGTTTGGTTGATCTGTGGGGTACTCTATATTCGACCATAATCCACCCACACACTCAACACTCACTCTAATACTAACTTTCTTTTTTTTTCAAATTTTTTGGATTGCTTTGCCATTTAGAGAATCTTAAGTCCAAATTAAATCTCCCATTAAGATTTAATTTTGTATAATAGATTGATTTATAATTTGTATGCAGTTTGGTTGAGATGAAAAATTAGTGACATGAGCAGGGCTCAATACACCAATGCTCTAATCACTTGAGCTATTGCAACTTCCCAAGACATCAAGTCATCATCTCAACTTAAAACTTTTTGTCAAATTTCTCTCTTTTTGCCATATATTCAAATTTTGTGTAATTACTTCGATTCTCAGCGACCACAGCCAGGTGCTTTTAGAGAAGTATAGATATTTCAGTAATTGTTATATTAACCTATATGGTTTTTAGTTCGTGTGTCACCTAGAATCAAAATGTTTACACAAAATTTGAACAGGTTGTATGTTGAGATGATTAGTTGGTGTCTCAAGGACAGAAGTCACGATAGCTCAAGTGGTAGATCGGATGTGGTAGTGATCCGGAGGTCATGGGTTCAAGTCCCTCTTGTGACTCAACCATATATTACAAAAAAAAAATTAGAAATCACTTTAGTTAACTAGGACAAACTAAAAAATTTGTATAACAGGTTAATTTGTTTAGAGGCTGGATGGTGCAATACCTGGTTAAACAGGGAAGGTGAAACATCAGCCAAACTCAGTATTTTCTGTCGGTCTCAAAATGTTGTTTTCACGCCCAATTGGCCAATCACAGCCAATTTTCTTCAATTGATACCATTCCGGTCATGCATGGCGTAAGCTGGAATTCAAGGAAGCTCTTAATGAACTGCTATTCACTGGCTGTACAGCATTTGAACAAAGTCCTGCTTTATTTGTTTTTCACAGGTTGAAAAATGACCACTGCTTCAAGTAGTGCTTCAGTCTAATGCGTTGCTTCAATAATAAAACAAAGTTGTTCAATATCCAAAAAAAAATTTCATATTTATTGTTTATTTTAAACTGTGTATTTTTATCGTTATATTGATTATATCATACTTATTTTACTGTAAACCAAATTAAATAAGATTAGAAATTCAGTTTGAATAAAAATTAGTTAATTATGATGGTTTTAAACAAAAAGTCATTAATTTAAAAGCATATAGTGATAGGATAAATTTAACAAACGAGCTATTTCTTGGCTTTGCTCTTAATAACGTGTAATATCTGGCTTTGTAGAAGGACTTAAGTCTCCTAAGCATTAGTTAAATAAGTGATTGGATTTTCCCATAAATGCTCAAAGGGATTCATGCCAGGAGGACATGCTGGCCAATTCATTGTGATAACCTCACATCTTTTATCATGTACACAAGAAGTTGCCCCCAATAGATGGAGTGAATAGGACCACAGCTTCAAGAACTTCCTCTATCTACTTCAGTGCAGTCAAAGATCCATTATGTATCATCTTGGTCGGTTTGGACACGGATTCATCACATATCATAACTGTCTTTGAAAAGGCTGTGACGCATGTGAAGCAAAGCATTCTCCATGTCTTCTCCACCCAATGGTGCCAGTCATCTAATGGCCACAAACCAAACTGGCACTCTGTGGAGAAAACAGCTCTCCATTGTTCAAGTGTCCAAGCGAGATGCTGATTTGTGAATAGTTGCCTTTCTACTCAATTCCTCTCAAGCAGTATTGAACCTAACGTGGGATGTCTAAGGTCTAGGCTATTCTTACAAAGCCTTCTAATAACTGTTTTGGAGCTTGTGGGACGTTGATTCCACCCCATACCATAACTGCCTTTCAAAATGCCGTGATGCAATTTACATAGAGCAAAGCGTTCTCCATACATGGTGCCAGTCATTTGATTGCCACAAGCCAAACTGGCACTCTGTGAAGAAAACTTTCAGCCTTCCATTGTCCAAGTGAGATGCTGATTCCGAATAGTCTCCTTTCTACTCAATGCCTCTTGAGCAGTAAAGAGCCTGATGTGGGATGTGTAGAGATTAGGCTATGTTCACAAAGCTTTCTGATGAATGTTTTAGAGCTCACCCTTGCATTACGGACCTTTTGGAATTGACTACCTATCAAGGAAGCTGTTAAATGATGATTCTGTAGTGCGGTAAGAGCAATAAAACATAGTCAACCACTACCATCAAATCTTCTGGTGACCCTGGTTGATGATCAGCACTGCACACAGGACTTTGGCTATGTAATGATCAGTACATCCGGCATTGGGCAAAGCATCTGCCCAGACGAGATCACCTTTAAACCACGCTTTTAGGAAAACAAATTAATTCATTTTTTACCCAGATTTATTGACAAGTTGGCTCTGGAAAGTACGAAATTTTTTTTTAATCTAAAAGGTGTCACGGGCATAATCCAACTCTACAATTTTGACATGGCTGGGCCTTCTCATGAGATTGGGGTCTGAGCCACTTTTCTAATTAGGCTTGTCTCGACCTTGACCAATGTTGAATGGCTTGTGGACCAACTTGTGCCACGAATAAAAGACATTAAAAGAGAACCACTATCATGAATTTATTCACCCCCGAAGTAGTGAACCCTGACAAAGGATTAGTAACACTCTCTAATAAACAAGTTATTAATGTTGTGTGTATGTCATATTCATCTTTAGATGACGTTATTATGGAAAAAATAAATACAAGTCTTTGGTTTTTTTGCCTGTGAGTGTTTATTGATATTGGTTTTATAATTTTATTTTCTGTTTCCAGGTCCAAAGAGTGCGATGTCGTCCATGGTGAATGCACGCAGACCTACGTCCCTTATCTCTTCCTTGTAATTCCGCTTGGGCCAGTTACTTTAACGGGTCAGGATTACGTTTTGGTGGAAAGTGGATGCGTTTGCAAGCCTAAAGTAACATTAACATGAACAAGACAACTTCGCTTCATCAAAACAATGCTTTTGATCTCGATGACATATTGTTTAAGAAAAACGCAATAACTGAAAATTTTTTGACTAAATTTACCACAAACGGATTTCTAACTTTTATGCATTTAGTTTAAATGATAATACGAGGTCTTATTTATTTTTGTAAATAGTTTATTTCTGTTATTGTGAAATTATATTTATTAAATGAAATTGAAAATATAAAGATTAATTCAATAGCATACCAAATAAATGAAGTATTATCTTCTTTATAAAAAAACATAAGATCATTTTTTTTTAAATATAAGAAGTATTTACACACTTCAATTCCCTTACATACTACATTCTGTTTTTTCAAAAGAAAAGTCACAATTGATTAGCAATTTGTATATATGAGCAGGCGGCAGCATTTATGATTATAATAATTCAATGTTCATACAAACAGCCGTTTTTAATTAGAGGCGTTGGGTGTTTATTTTGAAATCAAAATTTTGCTCAGTAGCCATTTGTCTGTATTTCCTCAATGATGCTGGCGATGGTAGAAACTATAAAATGGCAATAAGGTCAATTTCATGTATATAATAGGAATCATTAAACCACTATGTTAAGTTGAGAAATTATTACTTCAATTTTTAATTTTTCTGAATGTTTTCTGTACAGATATACAGTATGTTGTAAGTTAGCAGTTTATTTCAACTGACTTAGAGATCTATATTCACAATGACAAACAAACAAAATACATATTGTTTTGCATTTTTTTTCTTATTATCTTTTACCAGATTTTTTAATATATCACAACTACATATATTTACAATTAATTATTAAAAATAAAATAAACCTGATGGGAAATACACCTATGTGTTACGTCTATTTTTCTCAAGCGTATAAACTCAAAAATTATGTATATACCGCTTATAAATGATAAAAAGCAAATATAAATATATGGAATGCAGCCACCCATAGATATTTAAGTGGGAAAATTAAAATAAAACAATGTAACATTACAGCAAGTTTAAATATTTACAATCTAGGATACTTGACCATTACATATAAATACGGCTTGAAAACATTGTTTGTTTGATGTTATCTAAATTTTCCAAATTAAAAATCCATCATTTGTGAAATTATATAAACACTAGGGAGGATAACTATAAAAATAATTGTTAAACGTATTATAGTCTTTTTGAAGAAGGTTGTCTTTCACTAATCTGAACGCATCTTTTTATTATCGGGAGTCGTTTGCCTCGAAAGCCTGGGGTTCCGGACTTCTTTCAACGTACCGGGTGTGATTTTCCGTTTGACTCCGATAGCAGCAGAAGCGGAGATGTTGGTACTGCTGATCGTTATTTCGCCTAAGTTGCTCAAGTTAGGCTTTTGAGGGACGCCGACAGTTACGATTTTCTTATCGGGGATTTCTCTCTTCATTACAATTTCTGGTGCAATTATGCCTCTATCGTCCTCATCCTCCTCCTCTTCTTCTTCTTCTAGTTCATCCTCTTCGAAATGCTCTTCCTCCTCATCTTCAATTTCACTCTCCGCCATCGCCATTGCTCCGAGCGTCGGTTCGTGGTCTTCAATTTCACCCTCCTCGACAGCCACGTCACACTCTTCCATGAATTCATCACCTTCGTCTGAGTAATTGACTAATGAAGTGTTTCCACCTCCGTCAGGATGGAGGTTCAGCTGAGGCAAATTTAGCCTTGAAATGTCAACCTTCTGCTCTTCCATCAACTTGTGGAGTAGCTGCTGAATGTCGTACCTCTTTCGGGCGACGATATCGGTTGGGAACCACTCCTTCAGCATTTTTATGGGCATTTTGAAATTTGTGATCGGCCTCTGAAACAACAGAACAAAAAATTTTCTAACAGACATTATTAAGGGACAAGTACACCAACCAAATACTTTATACCATAATTCATTTTTAATATAATTTACAATCCCAGTTTATTTAAACATAGCAGAAACCACTATTTTCAATTCTTTCATGAATAAATGAGCCGATCAACCCCTTTTTAAAATTATAGGTTACCTCTAAAGGCTTTTAACTTAAATTAAAGAATCTTAATTTAATCTAACATCTGTTCAACCATTTTGGTAAGTAAAAATAATTTATATTACAAAACTATATACCAAATTAAAAAATCACATACTACTTACACTAAAGAATGCTTCAACGTACTGAAGGACATAGAGACCACAATCAGTATAATTGGTCTGTTGAGGCACTTTCGGTACTGCTCCTCTCACTGTGTCCTTTGAAAAGTCCCTTTTGCTACCCTTGTGTTTCAAATTATACTCAACTTGCAAATATTCCCGAAGTGTAGCGCAGACCCGTGACCTACTAGCACCAGCAAGCGAATCAAATATCAGGATACAAGGTCTGAAACAATTGTGCGCCATGTAAATTTTTGTAAAATATTTTAGTAATTAATGTTTTTTTTTGACAATATATCTATGTAAAAATTTAAGAAGCATGTAAAATACTGAAGAAATTTAATACCAATAAGCCAAATGAAAATATAAATTATATCGTAGTCAAGAGTATGCACTATGGGCCTGGCACAAGTATGCCAATCCTTTTTAAAAAGATGGTTCCTACTCACAGTACTTACTTTTTTTTCCGCAACAATCCGGATTTCAAGCCATTTAGCTCATCATCAGGTTGAAGGGTTTCCACAAACACGTCTCTCGACATGAATTGCAAAAGTGAACCCGCTGATACCCCCGCCAACGTGACGTTCCAATGAGGAGCTGGTTTTTTAATGGTGCTCAATTTGAACGTGCAAAAAGCGGGAATTATAACACAAATAACTATTACAATAGTAAATACTGCAAGGTAGACAACTTGGCAAAAAGGGGGGGGGTTTACCAACTCAATTGTAATGATTGTGACATGCATTAATAATATAGCAGATTTTGATCTACCTCCCATTTTAAATATGTACATAAATAATTATTTAGAAATCGTGAGATGCGGTCTGGTGTGATGTAGGTTTTAGAAAAACATTTTCTTTATCGTGCCAACGTTTCGATCTTTATTGAAATCATCTTCAGGGCCTGGGATTTACATTTCTATATCAATTTGAACGTGCAAAAAGCGGGAATTATAACTCAAATAACTATTGTAATAGTAAATACTGTAAGAAATTAATTATAAATTAAGAGATTGAGCGCCATTAAAAAACCAGCTCCTCATTGGAACGTCGCATTGGCGGGGGTATCAGCAGGTAAAGGTTCACTTTTGTAATTCATGTCGAGAGATGTGTTTGTAGAAACCCTTTAACCTGATGACGAGCTAAAGGGCTCGAAATCCGAATTGTTGCGAAACAACTTACTGTGAGTAGAAACCATCTTTTTAAAAAGGATTGAACTCCACACCCACTCCATCATTCGTAATTTCTATCAGTATGCCAATGTTTAGTGCCGAGCAAGGGAGACTTTAGAGTGTTTAAAAATGATACAAGCCCCCTTTTCTGCTGCTGTCCTCTAACCAATGGACATAACGGTGAATACACATAATACCCGTATACACATACATCTCTCAAAGACATCTCCTAAATGATGGATATCAACATCACTCAAATTAGTGCAATGCAGGACTATTGTTTATTGGAAATGCTTCAAAATTATATTAAAAACCGATTTGTTGATCTTGCAAGAGATATTGAAAATTGCACAGTATCAAACATAGCAGTTATCCAAATTTGGATGAATTGTGTAAACGCAGCAGCTCAACATGTTCTAACTATTTAAAAGCTAACGATAACACCATGCTTGAATATCTTTGGGAGCATCCATCTACCCTGTCCAAACTGGTGCATGTTTCTGCAGCTTGAAGTCCTGCAAACTACAGAAACCTAAAGCTTCATGGCTGTAGAGAAATCATCGTCAATGGCATCAGTCTCTGTGGCAATTCCTTTTTAAGAAAACTATTGTATTCACTCAACTTGACTTCAACCTCTTGACCTGACAGGAAACTCTAATAATTGATGGCTTTAATAATGATCTCCATGACACCAGGTACTCATTGACTTCAAGACAGACAACAATGTATCATTCAGTGTCTGTTTTATGTCAAGGTGGCTCTAGACTTGCAAGATTTGGCAAATCCTAGTGGGAACAGGTTCAACAATATTCGGTGCTCGCCTTGCTCAGCTAATTGTACGTTTCTTTGTCCACTTCAAAGTGCACATATATTAGAGGATGATATGAAAGTACTTTTGTACAAATCACACATTGAGCTTTACTCTCATCAGCCTCTATAAATCCCAAATCTAAGCAACCGACGTACTTAGCCTTTTTAAATATTCTACTTCCACTGACTGTTTGACCTGCACCTATTCAGAGATTTGTAGAATTTGAGCATGCTGGATTCTGCTGAGGTGCTTTATCTGATGTTCTTCATATCTCGTCTTCAATAATGTCCTCATCGGAAGGTTGTCCTTCAACCTCATCAATGCCATTTAGAGATTTCCTGGCTGTGTATGTGATGGAGAACTGAACTTCTCAGAGATCCTGACTTCAGCTACCGATCCTTATTGAATAACTGATCAACGAGAATGCCGCAAATAAGTAGTGCACTCATGAGAGAAGTTTAAGCTTGAATCACATTTTTGAAATAAAGACTTTTTTATACAACATTGGAAAAAGCCAGGGAATTCCAGAAGCAGCATTTTCTGGTAATGAAGGACCTCAGTATCAACAATGAAATTCATAGGAAACCATCCAGTCTAGTCCCATCTCTCATTATCTTACCTTTGCTTACTTGTGCAAAAATAAAAATAGAATGAATAAATAAAACAAAAAATTTTTGTTTAAGTACTTATTGTTATTAGCATTTTAATTTTATTTATTCATTCTACATTTATTTGTATGATTATTAATATTTCTAAAACCACAGTTTGGGAAGCCCCATTTTAAGGAATAATTATGCAAAAAGTTTAATATTTACTGTTTGATGGGCTCTTCTGGTTCCATTTTGATAGAACGTGTCAATCTAGGTGTTGCTTCATCCATAAGTTCTGTTCCGTCTTGACTACTTTCTTTTCCTTCCTAAATTATTATTATTAATAGTATTAATAGTGTAAAACATCCATTAAATTTATGATTGATAAAAAACTGACATCGTCACTTGTATTTGGTTCTAAGTCCTCATCATCAGCGTCTGCTTCATCACGTTCTTCTTCTTCACCTTCAACGGTTATCATAGGCTCACTTTGAACCACTGTTATTGTTGTAGCACCGATCATCGATGGTACCGGGCCTTTAACAAAATAAAATCGTTGTAATGATTTCTAGGTACCGCGTCTATCGACCATAAGGTGAATTTTTAATTTAAACTTACGTTTGGTACTTCTCTTTGAAGGAATGCTGATAGGAATATTGTCAGACAACCTGACAGCATGAGTAAGACCTGGAAAACAGATAATGCCAAGAAACCAATGACAGCTGGAACAAAAAACAAGTTATATTTATATTGTGGAATTTGCATAACTAAGTTATTGTTATTACTTTTCATTTATAGGAATAATAATGAAGTCCTTAGAGAACAGATCGACTGATTTGGTCCACCCTTTAACTCTTGCATGTCTCTTTTCAGCAGGACTGAGTTTAGGATCGTCTTGGTATTTATTAAAACCGCCTGGCGACGCTTTGGTCGTCAGCCTTTTGTAAAAGAAAGAGGAGAAAATGTGAGTCCTCTTCTGATCTTCTGGAGAAAGTTTTGTCAAGAAGAGCCACCTAAACACAGAAAAAGTAAATCTCTTTTCTAAATTGACGTATATTTAACAAATAGACAAATGTATTTACTTCAGGTAAAAATCAATGATGACGTCATTTAAAAATTGATCTTCACCGAGACAAGCGTAATCTTCAGTGTTTATCGAGATGCCTCCTTTGGTTGGTGGTGGGGGATAAACCATGATGCTAAACACACACGAAATTTTATATGTTTCAAAATAAATGGCAAGAATGTCTTTTTTGCTAAAATATTGATGGATATGTGAGCCTTGTATAATTTGCTTGGAAGGAGGAACCTATATTATAATTTATATACATCTGTGATAATATTATTTAGTGGATAGAATAAATGGTTAAAAGAAAACTTAAGAGAAAATAAGTCAATATTGGCCTCTTCATACATAGAAATCAATCAACTAAACAGTTCTCCTCATTTTTTATATAATTAACCATGCAGCTTTTTTAATGGTTAACCAAAGGTGGTTTTAGTATGCTGCAAGGTCTCATCATGATAGAAGTTGTTTAAATTCTGGTCCATTTTGATAGCTCAATAGATGAGTCTGTTGTTTTAATTTTACTTCATTGCCTCATCATAAATTAGTCAAGCTGTCCTAAGGTCAAAGACAAGTAGTAAAATTCTAAAAGCCGGATTATTTATTTATTTCAAGTTTTCGGGTGTGTGATGCTACAGGATAAATGACATCACTGTATGTGAGTCCACTTAACTGCTAGGCAGCACCATGTGTAACTTTTGAATTGGCGGGAACGTAATGTCAAATTTTGTGAAAAGTGGCATATCATAGTTCTGTGTCTAGCTTTATAACAGCTAGGTGGTGAGGTCACGATAGCTCAGGTGGTAGAGCCAGGTGGCGTATCTAGCCGAAGGTCGTGGGTTCGAATCACTCTCGTACCATTAACTTTTTTTCATCTCAACAAAAAACCTTAATTAATTGCTTTATAACAGCATTGGTTTAAGTATTTACCAGGAAAAATGGCCCATTTCTAATTAGGTCCGTTTTCTTATAGTTTAGTGAAGGATTTTATGCTGCTCCAGAATAACTTACTGTTGTTAAAATAACCGACACATCTTAACATAGATCTCAAGTCGCTCCAGAAATTGTACCAAATATGTAAAAAAAAAACAACTTGAAACCTGTGAAACACCTAAAACACCATTTTTTATTTTTTTAATTTTAAAGTAGGTGTTTGAACCTGTTTTTGGATTTTCACCTTCTGGTTGAGTAGACTATTTCTACTAGATCTCAGATAACTACCGTTCCAGAAATTGTACACAATATGGAAAAAAAAAAAAAATCGGAACTAGTGAAACATCTAAAATGCTTCTTTTTTTTTTAAAGTAGGTTTTTAACTTTTCCCTAGATTTCAGATATCCACTGCTCCAGAAATGTTACCATATAGTAAAAAATCTTTCTGAAACTTGTGAAACATCTAAAATGCCAAAAAAGTTGCGAATTGTGGAATCGATGTATTTGACTTGTTCAACTCGATCTCAATTTCCAATTGATTCAAAATTTTTTGCGAATGTGTAAAAATACATTCTGAAACTAATGTAATATATAAAGTACTAAAAACTTCGAAAAAGTGTCTTTTTACCGGAATTTTAACTAGTTTTTAGAATTTCACCTTCTCGTTAAGATGTGAGTTGCGTGATGGAGTATTGATGTGTTCGACTATTTCAATTATACCTATCGCTCCAGGAATTGTACCAATATGTATGTAATCTATTTTTTATTCATTATGGTTCGAGCTGAGTTTATACAAATTACTATACTCGTTTTGATTAGAGATAAAAGATATTTTTTTGCCTGAAAGTCTACAAGCACTACATTATAATGGCACTAAAGACTGACAATATGAGCGCTGCAATATTTCCACGTGATGTTAACAATTTAAAACAACAATATTAATAATTTAATAGCACAGAACGCAAGAAATCTTATATTTGGACAAAGAATTTAAAAATTTTAAAAGGATTGAATATATTAAAATAAGGGTTTTTATGAAAAAAGGAGAAAAATCAGTTGGTGGATAAAGTGTGCCAGTGCACGGCCTTATATTAATCAAAAAGACGCATGGGCACAAAGGTTAAGGTAATGCAGCTGTACTTCACATAATTTTTATTATATAAAATTTAGACGGCTCGCTTTTTGCAATTGCTACTGTTAAAAAAATAATTAATGGTATAAATGATGGAGGAGGTGGGTTTTACTTACGTTTGGATCTTTGGAACGACTGCAGATGAACCAGATGAAGCACCTTGGAAATTGTCCTTTGCCCTAGTCGCCATGTGTGAAGGTATCTGTTTACAATGAAAAATGTCTTTAACGGAGAGGTGAGATTCAATAAATTTTAATGGAAGATATTCACCTCTTTAGGAACTGTTTTAACAAGAATTTCATTTGCTTCTTTAGAAGACAGTTCGTCCAACAAGCACTGCCCGTCATAAATACTTTTAATGAATAATCGAGTGTCACCAGGTATTTTATCAGGCAAAAGGGTTATCCTCCGGTGCATCTCAACTGAAATTTTATGTTGTAATTATTTTACCAAATGATTTAAACACTGCTTTGAATCTACCTGTGCTTGTGGGATCGAAGTAAATGGATTCGGGTTTGTGCGGCATTTGGAGCGCGTTGCGGATTTTAATGCCAGCACCGTTTGTCGTGTAATAAAACAAAACGGGCATCTGGTTTCCAAAATGGGCCAGAACCTTCACTATATCTGTCCTCAAGATTTTTACCATTGTCTGCTCTGAATATCAACCAAAATAAAAGTTAGCACGATGTAACGATTCTTTAGAAATGATACTTTACCTCCATTCATAGAGGGGACTTTAAATTTTATTCCATATTCGTTTAAGGTTAGCTTTTCCTTAGGGAATACTTTATAAGATCCTATTCGTACTGTTCGACATTGCAGTAACGCTTTTTCTAGCACAGGAGAATCAAGTAATTCAGTTAAATCTACTCCACCACCTGCAATACAGAGTTCAATTATTTTTGGTTTAAATAATATGGACAAAATAGTATGCCATTTATGACTTGAAAAGTCTTTAAAAATCATACTGGTACCAGAACAGACATATGGTATGGTATACCAATACCAAGTTTCAGGTCATATGATATCAGAACAGACAGCCTGCATCGGAACAAAATAGACTATATCGTCTTGCCTTAATAACATACTAGATATTAGTCTCAGATATGTAAATACAGTGTCATTTTTTTAGTTTTATGGTCAGCTCGCTGAAACATCTTTCAATTCACGTTATGGGCAAGGGTGCATGGCACTGATTGGCTAAAACCAGAGCTCTGCTTCTTTCCATTCTGAGTAACTCATGATTCAAATATGGTAGCGATTTGTGTTGTACAGTTTTAGGCATTCGCCCAATGAAAATATAAATTGTGGTGGAAAGAGAAAGAGCGAGACTTTTTAGGGAGTGTCGTAAAGCTGGTATGGTGCACTCAGTGAACGACGCCAACAGTGTGAATCCCTCTGTCGGTGCTGTCCCTAAAACAACGGACTTAACAACTGAATACACGTAACACCTATACAACCGTCATGTCGGATAGCATTCTACATCACTTGATGCAATGAAAGTCCATTGGCGCACGTTGGACAAATTCTTAAAACGATATTCTAAACCAATCCATTTAGTCTATGTTAAAACATTTGTGATCGACTTTTGATCTGATTTCAGCATGGAAATGTGTGGTATTTAGTGACCGTTAATTAACGATTATTTGGAGATCGTGTGATGCAGTCTGGTGTGATTTATAAAAATTGTTTAAATTATCCAAATACATGTAGGATGTGAAAAAATGAATTTATACAATGATAGAAATTTTAGATTCAATCAAAGAATTTGTACAAAAAACACTTTGGGTGAGTACAAATCTCTGATTGATCCTAATTAATTAAGGTATTTAGTTGAGATGAAAACCTTATGAGTTTTCCCTCCTTTTTGCCATTTTTCAAATGTCGTGTAATCAGATTGGATACTCGACGACAAATGAAATGGCCACAAAGAGCTTTAGTGAAGTGTACTTCATTTTAATCATTAAATTCACTAATTTCGTGGTCCACTTGACCAATTAATACATTACAATTAATTAAGGTTTTTAGTTGAGATGAAAAAAAGTTAGTTAATGGCACGAGCGGGATTCGAACCCACGATCTTCGGCTAGATACGCCGCTGCTCTACCACTTGAGCTATCTTCACCTTGATTCACTCAGACATCAACTTCCTATCTCAACCCCACCTTATGAGTTTTCCCTCCTTTTTGCCATTTTTCAGGTCAAGGTCACGATAGCTCAAGTGGTAGACCAGCGGCGTATCTAGCCGAATATCGTGGGTTCGAATCCTGCTCGTGCCATTAACTTTTTTTCATCTCAACTAAAAACCTTAATTAATTGTAATGTATTAATTGGTCAAGCGGACCACAAAATTAGTGAATTTAATGATTAAAATGAAGTATACTTCACTAAAGCTCACCATAGCCATTTCATTTGTCGTCGAGAATCCAATCCAATTACACGACGTTTTGAAAATGGCAAAAAGGAGGGAAAACTCATAAGGTGGGGTTGAGATGGGAAGTTGATGCCCGAGTGGATCAAGGTCACGATAGCTCAAGTGGTAGAGCAGCAGCGTATCAAGCCGAAGATCGTGGGTTCGAATCCCGCTCATGCCATTGACTTTTTTTCATCTCAACTAAAAACCTTAATTAATTGTAATGTATTAATTGGTCAAGCGGACCACGAAATTAGTGAATTTATTGATCCTAATATTTCTATATTGTGTACATCATTGTATAAATTCATATTTATATCTTATATGTATTTGTACAAATCCCAGGCCCTAAATATGATTGCAATAAAGATTGAAACATCGGCACGACAAAGAAAATCTTTTCTAAACCTACATCATATCAGACAGCATCTCACGATCTCTAAATAATCATCTGATTTAAAAATGACAAGATGTCTTTATTAATCATCCCTGACATCCAGCGAACTTGACAAAAGTATTATTAATCATTGTCAAATATTAGCAGAAATAAATTGGTCATGCATCATTCAGTGTGTGCTTTATGTTAAAATAAAATGTGCTATACACTCAATGACCCGTTTTGATTTCAATCCAATACTCTAAAAGTGACAGGTAACGTAAACGTTTCACGTGAAACTTAATCGCCATGTGCCCTGGCAGCCTCGCCCAATTTTTATTTTTTGATTTCCTATTTCTCAACCCTATACATTTTTTTTCTCTTTTTCTTTCTTAATGGCCTTAGGACTATACATATTAACCAAGGAGTGTAATGTAAAATTTTTTTAGGAGGGGGAAAAGAGTATTCTGAAAAAGGGCCAGGAACGACAGTGGTAATCAAACCCACAATCGCAGGTAGAGTCTATGAGTGAGTTTTTATTTTTGGAAAGAATAATTTATTATTTAGTATAGTAGATATTGTGAGTCTTGAAATGTATCCATATACATATATTAAACAAATAATTAAATAAATCAAGAATTACCTTCAATTCTAGTCTGCATAGGAGCTTCAGTGGTTTCTGTAATGATTGGTTCTTTTAACCTTAAGGAAGTTAAATGATCATTTTCTTCAGTAATGCTTTTCCCATTGTTTAACGTCTCGTCTTTCTCTTCATCGCCCTCTCCCTCATCCGATGATATTGTTAGACATACTGAAAACAAGAAAGTAAATCATCTAATATTTGCTGTTACACTTTAATATATCAATTATTTAAAAAAAGTACAATACCAGGTTCATCAGGTTTTTTATGTTTTCTAGGGCATTTTCTTTTTTTAACTTCGAATTCCTTTGAATTTTCATTAAACTGGAGGGAGGGGAAGAAAATGGAAAGTGTTAAAATATGAAAGCAAATAAATAAATTGAGATTTTAGGAAGAGTAATTTGTACCATTTTTATTTCAGTCAGTGAACTTCTAGAAAGTGCCCTCCTGCACTGATGGCATCGTTTGTCATCCTTCGAGACAACGTGGCACAAACTGCAGTAGACTACACCGTTGTTTTTAGCTTTTAAGGGTTTCTGCTATAGAAAGCACATTGATTAATAGAAACAAAAGTAACACTTCTATAAAAAGTGGGGATGAATATAAATACTTTGCCTGAAACATTTTCTCAAGCATGTTTTAAATGACATCAACTAGCACCAACAAAGAAAATAAACTCATAGACATGTGTTTTCAAGAAATGAATACTATAGAGAATACTATTAATTAGTGTGTGTGTGTGTGTGTGTGTGTGAGAGAGAGAGAGAGGAAGAGAGAGAGAGAGAGAGAGAGAGAGAGAGAGAGAGAGAGAAAAGAAAGAAAGAGAAAGAGGGGGAGAAGAGAGAAAAGAAAGAAAGAAAGGGAGAGGGGGAAGAGAGAAAAGAAAGCAAGAGAGAGGGGGAGAAGAGAGAAAAGAAAGAAAGGAAGAAAGAGGGGGAAGAGAGAAAAGAAAGCAAGAAAGAGACAGAGATTTAAAATTTATATAAAACCTTTCCAATTGTAATAAAATATAGTGGAATACCAACAAAGTATTCAAAATTAATTTAATTTTCCCAAATCTGTGCTAATAAATGACCAAAACAGTTCATCACCCTGCAGACCTAACAAAAAATTGTTCACTACAATTTTTCTGTATTTTTATCTATTTATTATTTCAATCTACCCAATATTTTTTATATAAAAAAACATAAATTTTGATAAAATAAATGTGCAATAATTACCATGAGTATCATTGTTAACAGGCAAATTTTAAATTTTACATCATTGATCAGAGTCTTACATTATCATTAGTCGATTCCATCTTTTCCTCTTGTTCACATTGTACGAATAAATCTTGCATTTGTTGTTTCCTTTGTTCCCTTACCTCCCTGAAAAAGATTAAACATTTATCCCCATCGAAATAGATTTTTATAAGCTATACTTTTATTACTATTCACTCAAAACAGTAAACCAGAGATTACAACTGACCAATTATTTTCTCAGTGATGAGATGAGTCACTATATATAAGCATTGTTTCATCAATTAACTAACAATTTATGTATTTATATATAATATATTTAAAAAAAAACTCTTTTCATGAAAGAATATTTATTAACATAGAAAGAATATACTTAAAAAGAAATAATAATACAAATTTGTTAAAACTAAGTAAATGATTTGTTTCTTTAAAAATGAGTTGGTTAAAAAGGTGTTGAGCAATTTATCTGCATAAGGCAAAACTCAAATAACAATTGCACTTATGTTTAAACAAATCAAAAAATCCAAAACAAATAAGTATATCCGATATAATAATATACGAAGGTGTAAAAATTGTCACTTAATATAAATAACTGAATGTTTTATAATTTGAGAAAAAAAATAAGTTGAGCAAGTTGATTTTTTAACAAATAATATACAATAAATAGAACCCACAAAGAAAGAACACATTAAATAAAAGTTAAAACCTTTTAAAAATAAAAAAAAGAAGTTTTTGTTAAAGTTTAAACAATTATTTATTTTTAGTTCATTTTAACCATAAAAGAAAATTTTTAAAAATAAATCACAGTGCAATCACATTTTTCTGGGTCCCTGGCGATTTTCAAAATCTGTTGTTCAGTGTCACCTAAGCAGATCTATTGTGGATTCTTTTGTTTAATTAGGGCATCTTTTTCTTTTAAACAAGCTTGCTTTTTAAATCTTATGAGCCTACAAATATTTTGTAATACGGCTGTGACTTAGGGTTTCGCTTTGATACCTATTTCAAATTAAAATTATAATGTAAATGTTTTGTCATTATTGGTGATATATATAAAACAATATTAAGTCGAGTATTAAACCTGATTTTGTTCTATTTCTATTAACAAATAATACCTACTCAGATTCACAATCCATGTGCCCTTCCATGGTATCATCTATACCGATTGACCTACACACCTGTAACACAAATTTGCATACATTGCAACATAAATTTTATGTGATAAACAAAATAAAAGTTAAAAAAAAAAAATCCACATTTTAGAGTAATAATTTCGTTATGTTTCTTCGGTACTTATGCTGCCAGCATTTTTTTTGTTCTAATTTAATCAGCATCATTTCAAACAAACTGGCTTGATATAAATATTCTGAGTTATTCAGGCAATAAAATAATTTGTGAGATTTTTCAATGTGGAGGTCAGCAGTGTGATGAAAGTTTGGTCGTTACTTGTCATTTGAGTCTGCCTATCTTTGCTGGTTTGACCTATCAGATGTGTTTCAGCATTTGGACATCTTCAGTGATGCGTTTTAATCAAAATAATTAAAAACTGAAGATGAAGAGATATTATATGCATGCAACAGACTAAAATGATTAGTAACGACCAAACTACTAAACTAAACTAAAAGTTGTATTTTGTTTATTGGTTTAACAAAACTTTCTAAAAATTTTTTCATTCATAAAATGTATAATAATTTACAGTGAAATAAAACTATCTAAAAATCAATTTAAAAAAAAAATTTTTTTAGCAAGTTATTTTTAAATTAAAATAAAACAAAGTTGATGTTTACTATGAAACGTTATCACTTTTTTGAAAACATTATTTATCATTTAACACTGGCAACGGGCAGTTTACTAAGTATTAAAATAATTTATTAAAACACAAATATTTTAAAGTTGTTGAATAATGCTGTTCAAGATTTTAAATTTTGGATAAATGTTTCCAGTTTTGTGCGAAAGGAAATTTGACGCAGCTGAACAATCATAAATTCAATTGTAAAAAAAGGAGAATACAAGGAGTGTTATGTTTTTACCTTGTATAAAATGTACGGAACATTAAGTTTTTCAGGCGAATGGCAAAATACTATCTCCTTTTCCTCACCGTCGGGTGTAACAACAGTCACTTGTGTAGATGTAGAATTAGTGATCCTAAACATACCATTCAAAAGACAAAATAATAACAATGCAATGAAAATTTCTTTAAAAGTTAATATCCCACTGATTACATTAAAAATTTATAAAATCAATACACACAAAAATAATATCCCCCCCCCAAAAAAAAAGGTTTTTATTACATTTTTTTTGTATCTATTCTTTTGAAAAATACACCCAGAGGAGAATGTTTATTGAGATTAATCTTTCCATTGATCAGTAGTTATAGCAATCACAAATTTTAATTAAAATTCTTAATAATATGAGTTGGCGAGTGAAGCTCAATGTAGCACAAGTTACTGCTAAAATTGTTACTTAGAAATTTACTTTATCAGTTTATATTGGAGATAAAACCCTAAATGCAAGTAAAATAGAATAGATCAGTGAGACGCATCATTTTTAAAAACTAAAGTAAAAGCTAAATATTAATTTCAAACATTTTTTTTTGCTGCATTGAGGACAAATATTCCTTCAATTATTTCAGCCCAGCTCCTATCAGGAAATAATTAAATTGCTCAAAAATTAATAACAATGAAAAGCATCTATATTTATCACCATGCTTATAATCATCATATTAAAATGGTAAACAAAAGTCTTTTTTGACTCATCTCATCACTTTCATAGCTTTTGTTTTTGTCTAATGTTTAAGCTATTGTCGTTATTTACTACAAATCTCTGTTTTAAATGCTACATACAAATTGGGGCTTCAACGAGCGGCCCAAAAACAATTAAGAAAAAGTTGTAAATTTGAAGATACTCACGAATTGTCTGTATTTACATTATTATCACCGTTGGTAGTAGTAACCAAATAACTCTCCTGGAAAATGGTACAAAAATAATTAATGTTTTGAATAAACACAGTTTTATTATTACAGATTAGCGATTCATAAAAGATATTTTTGATTTATGCCTAATTTTATTAAGACAATTGTTAAAGGCAAGGGCAAATTAATTACCTTTAATTTTTAATAAAACAAGTCTTCCAACAGAGGGGAAAAATTTTAACAAATAAAATGTGAACACATCCAATCAATTAAATCATTTTTAAAAAAGATGGTTCCTACTCACATTAAGTGCATAGAATATCGTCTACATAGCGTTTCCAAAAATGTACATATTTAATTAATTTGTTTTTTGATTTGAACAGGTATTTTTCAAAATTATCCATGAATATTTCGGCACAAAGTGGGGATAATGGAGACCCCATTGGTAACCCTTTCATTTGGTAAAATTTATTATTGAATTTACAATAATTAGATAGTAGGCATATATTTAAGAGATATATTATATCATTTTTTACAAATTCGTTAATAAAATTCTCGGTAAGTTTTTGTTTTATGAGTTTAGTAAATTCTTCGACGGGGATATTTGTGAATGAATAAATTAGTAACGTCAAATTAGTAACCTTTTCATTTGGTAAAATTTATTATTGAATTTACAATAATTAGATAGTAGGTATATATTTAAGAGATATATTATATCATTTTTTACAAATTCGTTAATAAAATTCTCGGTAAGTTTTTGTTTTATGAGTTTAGTACATTCTTCAACAAGGATATTTGTGAATAAATTAGTAACGTCAAATGACACTAACACAGTTGTTGGGTATATTGATGTTATTTAATTCTTTTATCAATTCTAAAGAATTGTTGATACCGAATGTAGGTTTGAATTTGGTGTGGGTGTTAATTATTTTGTCAATTGTACTTGCAAGTTTATGGCTTGGGGAATTATAAAAGGACACTACTAGTCTTATAAGTTTGTTTACCTGTGAATTTTGACTGTACCGTGTAACATTGGGGGTTTCGGTTCATTGGTATTAGTTTTTTAACTGCATATTGGTCATCTGAGAATTAAAAAATCACTATTTTTATGGCTGTTTGAACTCTATTTTTTAATTTTAAGGTGGGATCTTTTTGTATTTCTTTACACTCGTTATTATTTAGGAATTCCTCAACTTTAGAAATGTAATTTTGATATTCAAGAATAACTATACTATATTGATATTACTTTTATCGGCTTTTAAAATAACGTTGTTGTTACTTTTTAACTTTTTATCAATAGACCTAATTGTGACATGGGATATTTAATTTTTTTACGTTTAGATTTACCAAATTTTGTTTAATTATTTCATATGTTACAACAATCTACTGATGAACCAAGGGATAGTAGTTTTTTTGTATCCAGTTCTGTTTTAGGGACAAATTTGAAGCCTTTGTTTAATAAATTGTTTTCTTCTTTATTTAGTACCATGTTTGTTTAGTTTATAACCCCTGGGTACAATTTAACTGGAGTTTTTGGGTCAATATGGGTATTTTTATTTTTAAGTGTACCGTATTTTAAGTTTTTAATTTTTTTATCTAGTATACTTTGTTTTTTTATCAATGATAAATTTAATTTTTGATCGCTTATCATAATCGAATTCGTCCTATTCTACTGGAGACAATAATGACGCAAGCCTAATGTGTACAATACATTGATAAAAACATTTTATGTATCTTTGACTGTATAATTTATGTAATTCATTATTTAAAATGGTTTTTTGGCATTTACGTTGTAAGAGAGTTGAACAGTTCTTAATATTTAGTTTAGCAAGAACGAATTTTGGGGCTAGATTTAATTTCAGACATTGAGAACTGGACCAGATTGATTTGTTAATTTTTGAGCATGAAAGTCTCAATTTATAATAAAGATTTAAAAGTATTTGTTTATTAGCAGATTTTAAGTAAGTGGAGGTAATGTTGTTGATTGTGTTATAATCCATTACTGCTTTGACTAGCAAATTAATAGAAATTATAAATGATGGGGCGAGTGTGGAGTTCAATCCTTTTTAAAAAAGATGGTTCCTACTCACATTAAGTGAGTAGTTAGTTTTTTAAAAAGGATTGAACTCCACACTCACCCCATCATTTATAATTTCCTATCAATTATGTAAAATTTAGTTAAGCCCAGCCAAACAGAAAGTGATCCAATGGCTGTCGTGGTGAATATAAGGCTGTCACATAGAACTCGACATACTAAGTGAGTGATCAAGTCTAATCGTTTTCTTCTATACAGCATTTAAACCGGTTTTCTTCTTTTCCATTGTTATTGAGTATGAGTTAGGATGAAGAACCACCACTTGTTATTACTCTTGTGAAACCCAAAGAAAAAAAAAAAACTATGGGGAATATGCACAATTAATAAAGAGAGAACACAAGCACTTAATTTTTCAAATATTTAATTACTTTTTAAGAAATACTTAAATCTTTTAATTTGATCGCTCATTTCAACTAATTCAACCTGTGCCTCGAAGAATCAAAGAGAATAGGAAGACCGCTGGGCAATTTGTGCTTTTGAACAACCAGATTGCTTAGATCAAAATCGGGCTGAAAGCGATATACTGTGTCCTGCCTGACAGGGTTGATGCAAAATTGTGTCTTATACCAAGATCGCCAGATCGCAATGGTTAGATATAGCTTCCTGCTGTATGCTCAGGTGTATGTCAACATGGAATGAGTTGACAGTGAAGCATAACAACCGATTTTGCATAGACTTGTATCAACTGAAAGACCTCTTGGGTGGACACTCTTGATTTCAATCAAGGCAAGCATTTCCTGGCAACATTTCCTACATAAAGTTTTTAACCATACGGCGAAACATTTCAATATTATTAATTATATGCTTAAACAATTTTATTGTTTACATATATGTAAACCGATATTTTAATTTTATTAATTGTTAATTAAATTAAATATTATAACATTTCATAATTTGTGCTTAAAACACAAATTAATTAAATTTCATAATTTATGATTTATTCATATATTGATTAATTAAGGGTAATTAATATATGAATATTTTTTAATTTATGATTTATTCATATATTGATTAATTAAGGGTAATTAATATATGAATATTTTGTAATTTAGGATTTATTCATATATTGAATAATTAAGGGTAATTAATATATGAATATTTTGTAATTTATGATTTATTCATATCTAATAACACTCCTCTTAATCACTAATTTTAACAATATATACATGTATATGTACATACGTATACATATATGTATACATGTACATGTATATGTATACGTATGTATACATGTACATGTATACGTATGTATACATGTACATGTATACATGTACATGTATACGTATGTATACATGTACATGTATACGTATGTATACATATACACCTATTAATCTTTATATAATTAGATTTAATACCCTAATAATGTATGTGGACATGACAATGGAGAAAAATAACCTAGACCGACAAACGATTCGTTGGTGTTAGCTAACTGGTTGTGAACTTCAAAATTTAAGCCTTTCAGCAATTGACAAATACAGTTATGTTCTCTTTGTGATGTTTCACTTTATAACCTAATGCTTTCAGAATTGCAAAGATTTACTTTTGGATGTATCAAGGAAGAAATTTTGTGAAATTCTTAATAGTCCGACTTGGGTGCCTCTAGTGCATTACACACGACAGGCCTGGAGCTATAGAAAAATGTTAGGAAAGGAATTTAATTTTGAAATTTCAAACTGAATTAAGTTTTTAAATTTTGAGAATTTTACTTCTAATCTTATTTTATTTAGTTTATTATGTTGTCTTACTGTACATTCATTATATTAATATGTAAAAGATAGATCACACTCATTACTTCATTTAATTTTGGAATTTTGACAATAAAATGGACCTCCGGCAGATAGACTCATACTATGCTGTATTGCTTATTTATTTATTTTTTATGTGGGTTCACACCAGCCGAGGTCATATCAACTCTTGGGGCACCAGTGTTTTTGAAAAAGGGCCATTTGTAAGTATGTCGAGTTCAAATGCAGGGCTGTTGGATTTGAACCCGGTACCTTTACCTTATAGTGATGAGTGTCATGTCGATGCTTAAACTGTTGCAGTCACTAACGCTCCTGTATTGTTTATTGTATATAATTTTTGTATTATTTAATTTAAAATGTAAATTCAACAATAAACATTTACATATCAGATTGCGCTCTGTCTGGCCAGGCTTTTAGTCAATTGAATTAAGTAGTCTGTTATGTATAAGCATAGGTAATAAAAAGTAATCCATTAATATAAGAAATATTGCACACATTATAAGGGCTATTTTAAATTACAACATAGTAAATATACTAGTAAAACTGTTGTCGTTAGTGATAGATTTGTGTGTGACCTTACTTTAGTCATTCCAAGATCTTCTGGTGTAAAGATGATTCTGCTTGTTGAAACTTGGGCAATGGGAAAAGTCGGTAATGCAGAACTTAATATAATAGTCTCACCTAGAATTGATAAAACAAATGTATAAAAAAAAAAAATAAATAAATAAAATGCAACAGCTGAAACGGCATGCATATTCATATTACAGAACCTGGTTGATATTGTTGAACAGGAACAATGATATTATTAGGAACGATGGATAATTGAGTCGCACATTCTTCCATTTGTGGTAGTGTGCTAGAAAATATAATTTAAAAATATATATATAAACCTCAGAATTGGAGGAAAAATATCAAAAAGTAACAAAATAGGTTCATGCAAAGCTTGCAAGAAAAACAGACTATAACTGAATCCAATAAAACAAGAAAAAAAAAGTATGAAGATACAAATTACTACGTCATGATCCAAATAGCATTCACATTGCAGTTAAATCTTGGACATAGAAACTGTACAACTCAAGACGAGCCTTTCCCCGGAATAATGACTTAGAGCAAAGGGGATACTTGAAATTGTACAGAATCTTTTTCTGTTAGCGGGGAAAAGTGAAAGAAGCGATGGAGTTATTGACAACAATAAAACTGCTGCATTCATGATATTAACTTACAGCTGCAGTTCGGTCGTTTCTGCGATGTTTGTAACTTCATTTTGAATGTTAATTGGTATTGTTATTGTGTTTTGGGCTGTTAACAACTGTGATTGCAATTGCAAACCATCACAAACTGAACTACCCACTTGCTCGCTAACGTTAAACGGCTGTTGTTCACTTGTTACAACAACATAATGCCTTTGGTCCATTATCAATTAAAGAAAGTGAAGACCATTATCAACTGCAAATCAATTCAACCATGTTACACAATCGTTTTGTTAGTATTTAGGGTTTACAGTGAAAAATTCTTTTGTAAGTAATGGAGATAAGCTTTTGTGTATTTTTTTAAATATTGTAAATAACCAGAAAGTGGTATTTATTAATCACATCAAATTATTGATTAAGGAAATGTGTCTAGTGAATGAACTGTTTTCAGCGAGGAGATTCATTTTCTTAACATTTGTTTTTTGTTGGCAGTCATCCACAAGGGTGTGAAACGTAATTCATATAACAACAAACCGCCGTTGTCTTAAATAGAAAAATATCAAATGTGCTTCTATATTCCTCATATCTAACGACCAGGCCCCCGAAAAACATTTAGAGCAATTTGACCTGATCCAAGAGTGAATACTTATTACAATAGGTCGGTCCAACATACAAAATTTGCAACCGATGTGCACACTTTGCAGCAAACAATAATTTGAGGATAAACGAAAATAGACCAAATATGCAGACAAGGACTCGAGCAAGTAGAAAAGAATTATCAAATGGGCACTTCACATGATGTAAGAGGTGCAAAAGTTCTTCAAGTCTTTGAAGAAAATCAGGTGAATTTAAAATAAGCTGCTTAAAATACAAGCATTGCCTCAAGCAGCAAAACCCACCATTTACAAGGCAATCATTAGACTGGTGGTGACATACAGGTGCAAATGGGGACGACAGAAAACTTACATGACCCTGAAGTTTAGGAAAGGAAGGTCCTCAGAAAGATCTCTGTCTGTGTCTGCACCACGATGAGAGCCTAACAAAACCTGACTGGCCTGTTATTTTGGCTTTCTCTTTCTCTAGTCTCTTGAAGTCCTGGGGGAAATAGGGATAGAGTTTCTGGCTTTCATCAACAAACAATAATTGAGGCCAACACCGAATTGATGAAGTAATAGGCAAAATAGTCAACTGGTATAATGAGACAAAATCTAAAACATTCCCCGATAAATGCCATATGCTCGAGCTCAAAGGTACAGTTGCTACTGCTCCTACTGAAAAGATAGTAGGAAAAAGCCAATAAAACCAAGAAACTAAGTGGAATATCTAGGGGTAGAGCTGCTTGGAGAAAAACTCTGCCTTGAGCATCGATATGGTACGGTAAAAAAGGATACTTGGAAGAGGCGTTTGTGCTCCCCAGGCACTGCAGCCTTTTGGCTCATTGTACCTTCCTAGTTCCTTAGTTCAATGCAATAAAGGGGATGGTGTAATAGAGTAAATCCTTCATCAGCCCTGAGCATTAGTCGACATGGGGTCTGAGCTCAAAAGCCCTTGTGATTGTTTATAAGTGTTATCTACTGATAGTTATATAGGGAGATGCAGCAGCTTGGACACTAAAGTTAAAAAAGTCGGAACAAAAGTATCACAGTCTTTCAGATAGCCTTGCTAAGAAGCACCAAAGTTTACAGGACTACATCGACGCACGCCAACCAAGTAATCACTGTTTTGGGGATAAGGATGCTATTGAGGAATATAGTATGAGGGGCTTTGCTTGAGGTTAAATGTAATATTGCATTAACAGCGTATTTGTTTTCAATAATTTTTATCCTCCAAAGTTAGTTTCATTCAGCTATTCACGGTGATTGCAGGATCAGGATCAGAGGAAAGCACAGCAAGGCTGCGTCTGCAAAGGATGCAAGGTGGGTAGTGAGTGTAGTCGGTATGTATGAGGTATAGAGGAGGTACAGGAATGGTCCGGGCACATTGCCAAGTAGCAATCCTACTAGTCGGAGTAGTCCAACCCTTGGTGAACTCAGAAGAACTCCTGTGAGGTAGGAGTGAAGGATTAGATATTAAGTGTTTGGAACTATGCATTTTAGTTTTTATAGAAAATGCGAGATGCGGTCTAACACTTGTGACATGTCCAGGAAGGTCCCCGTATGGTATTCCTTACGCTCTAAGGATGAGGATATATGGTCTACAACACGAAACACCTGCTGGATTGTTCCATGTTGAGAGCAAAAACGAAATTAGTGGTCTGAGCGAAGGTTGAAAGAAAAGGTGTAAGGATCAATCGTTTCAAAGTACCTTCTCAAATATTTGGGAAGAGAGGGAGCAGGCTAATTGGACGGCTCCTCTGAAGCGTGCAAGATGAGGAGGCTATGTCGTCAAATGATGCAAAGAATTTATTGTTATATCAGTAGAAATAGTTTATAAGTTGTACTGGCCAAAACATACAAAATCTCCCGTCCCATGAAATGTCATAAGGAAAAACAATGGCAACTGTTTATAATGATTTATCAGTTATAGCGGACTGCATGCAAAACTAACCCCAGCTGCGTAATTATTGTAGGAAAGATTCTTCCTCCTTTTTTAACTTGTCTTTATAAAATTTCTTTAAAATAAATAAATAAATAAATAACCTCTGTTTGTTAATATCAGTCTCTTCTGATGAGGAAAAAATTGCAATAATATCTCGGATTGTACCGGGAAATTGTGCGAGCAGTCTGCACGTGAAATGGTGCCCTCTTGTACCAAAATATCAGGAATTGTGAAAAATAAAGACAAAATCATCAAGCAATTTAATAAATGCCGTAAAGTTAAAAAAAAAATCTGGGAAAAATATAACACATTACATAGTACATTGATACTGTAATCAAATAACTCCGTGCACATTTGTACATACATGTGTAAATTTATGTATTAATGCTTTAAAAACATTTACTTAAATGAATTACATTAGCAGATTAGTATGTATTTTGTACTTCCTCGTAAACCTGAATAAATTATATAATGAAAACTGCTCTGCTATAAATGTACATTGTCTATCAATCGGATGAAATGTTCAAGTGATATACTGCCTACAGTGAATACCGCTTATAACATACAAAATTTTATGGTCCCCTGAAGTTCATTATAAGCGATTTATACTATATCTTTTTTTTACAAGGGTTTGCAACAGCAGAGGTCATATAAACCGTTTTTGAAGTGTCAGGTTTGAATGGAGAGCCACTGGAATCGAACCTGCGACCTCTACCTTAGTGACGAGCACATGCGCCTTAACCATTTTGACCACCGACACCCCCTACAGTTTATTAACCTATAAACAAAACTTTCCACTAGACATACTTAGAAACAGAAACAAATAATTACAATGGACATTTTTTTCTACAAATATGAATTTTAGTTTGTTATAGTTATAAATAAATGAAGTTATGAGATTCTTGCAAACAGTTGCCTTTTAATTAAAATTTTACTATTAATTTAAAAGCTGAACTATTTTTCTAAATAAACATGAATTTATATTTGTCAAGCATGCAACAACGAAATGGGCAGCATGTCTCTAAAATTTCTCAATCGACTCACATTAAACACAAGACACTCTCACAAACAGAAATAAACGTAGTACTGGCAACAATCGGACGTGAGTGTTGAATGGCGAAGTAGACACGCGCACTTTTATCGTGATAAATTCTCAAAAAATGTTCGAAACGGGAAAATATCCCAAGAATAAAGTAAAAATAAAAGCCTAAAATAGTAATAAAAATTGGTTAGGAATCCTGGGTCGAAGCGTTAAGCGGACGTCGAATATCGGGGGCTCGACGAGATTCGCTTGTATAAGTGGAGAAAAAGCTCAAATTCCGGGGAAAAGCTTACAAGTTTAAAAGAAAGAAATAAAGAAAAACATGCAGAAAAAGCTCAGAAAAACGTTTCGACTGTTGAAAATAGTCAGCCTTACGCTTCGACTCGGGCCGTTCGATACTTGGCAACAAGGGGCAGGAAAGTGAGAAAAACTCGGTACGGCGGCAATTAGTGTATAACGGAGGCGAAATTAAAAAGTTGGCCGAATCTGAGACTTACTTGGATAATTTACACCAGGATAGGAATCACAGCCTTTCAGCTCGAACCGGGCCGAAGATTAATTTTCCAATGGTCCACCGACTGGCTACCTGAGGCCGCAACTTCATTCTCCAGGGGGACTGGGCGAGTCGCGTTGCCGTGGGACTCCGGCCTGTTCCAATCAGAGTCCTTATCAAAACTTTTTTTTTCTTCCTTTCGCCTTTTTTCCCGTTCGAAAAAGACCGAGGAAAAACTTCTCCCGTGTCTCGATGTTGTTGAAATTTGCGTTCGCCTTCTAACGATCCACGTTTTAATTAACCTCTTGAACGCAGCGGTGGGAGACTTTTTTTTCCCCTCGCCCCGTCAAAAATCTTCGCCGATACAACGCCAGAAATGCATTTGGGGGAGAAAAAAAACCAAAACCAAACAAGTCAAATAAAATTTAGCAATTCTCCAATTGAGCTCGGACTCGTACAAAAATTGCTGGAGTCGAGAATTGTGATAACCTAAATGGAAAATACGGGAAGGGTCGACTAGTCGACCGTCCACTCTAACAAAAGCGGCAATGAAGCGAATCGACCAGTCTTTTAAAAATTAAACGGATAAACTACTTTTTTTTGGGGGGGGGGCACTTTCGAACCTAAAATTGGCTAAGGAATTAAACTTCAAATTTTCAAATACAATTTAACCATCATGATTGCGCTTCAGGCAATTAAAAAAAAATCATTTTATTCCATGTACAAGCCGCTGAAAAAACAATTTTTTCCATTGCAATATTTGCAGTTGAATTGGCAAAAGTTAAAAAAATAAAAACAACAACATTGATCTGCGAACGACTTGCAACCTGCCAACTGTTGCAATTGTAAGCATTGCTTTGTTTGTCAATGATGATCCAAAAATGGTTTAGCGTCACTGGATCCAAATGTCTGTGAGCGCAACGAGCTAGTAAGATTTTCTTTATTTGTCACTTTAAAACCCTTTAACCGGCCTCAGACTGAATTTAACCCTTTAAACTCTTTATTTCCTACGTTTTGGAATGCAAAAGTATTTTTTTAACACATATTCTCGATGAAGGACCAGCCAGAGTGCTCAGGATATGAAGAAGATATTAAATTATACTGATGAATAAAGTTGAAAACTGTCATTAACGGTCGATTCTTAGTTATTAGTCTTCTTAGTTTCGTTTTGTAAGAAAGGTGGTGTTATGCAATACTGTAAAATTTCTAAAAAGGCTCTTCCCCGCTTGGCCCCTTTACAGGGCTGGGTCGGCAGACTGCTTGACCATCATCGCAGCTGATGCTAAGGCAACTCTATTAAAACCCCGAGTGGAGATGCACCCCTAGCGATTGGGTCGGCCTCGGGTTTTTTAATTTAAGTGGAGTAAACTCTCTTGACTACCTTCCAGGAGTCTCACCATGTACCACTATTAATCCAAACCCAATAGCAAGCTCTCGGCAAAGGAACTTGTGCCCTTAGTTCAGTCTTACCTGTAGGACTCGCATGCTGCTGTCTGCGAAGTGTCAGCTAAGACACAAAAAATTATCTACATCAGTGATTCCCAAAGTGGTCCCTACGGACCCCTCCAGGGGTCCCCGGTATCATTCAGGGGGTCCGTGGAAAATTAAAATTGATTTGGGGGTCTCTGAACAATGTCAGGGGGTCCGCGAAAGGTTTAATATAAAATAATGTAATACAAATAATAATGATGTTTTCTTATATTTTGACAACAGTTAATCTTATGATTCTTCCTTCTTGAAGGTGGGATAATAGGTCATCTCAAAAAAACCACAACCAGTTTTTATCCACACGTTTCGGATTTATTTGAATCCTTCCTCAGGTGAGTTAACGCAATGGTTAAAAAAGTGGTCGTCAGTCATTAATATTTTATTTTTATACTTATTCAGTTTCTAGTCTGAATAAGTACCACACTGGCTCTTTTTTTAAAATAAATTGTTATAAAATATTAATGACTGACGACCACTTTTTTAACCATTGCGTTAACTCACCTGAGGAAGGATTCAAATAAATCCGAAACGTTGTGGATAAAAACTGGTTGTGGTTTTTTGAGATGACCTATTATACCACCTTCAAGAAGGAAGAATCATAAGATAAATAATAATATAATATAAGTACGTTGGTTATCTAAAAGTGCATGTTTAAATCGATTTTATGCGCTCTTTGATTCAGTGTTGGAATTCCTGGAAACCAAAGACAATGATTTGGGAAATTTAATTAACTCAAAAAATGACATAGCCTATATGTCTGATTTATTTGCCAAATTTGACGAAACTAATTTGAAACTACAAGGTGACCAATTAAATTTAATCAAAACTAATAGTGTAATATCTGCATTTGTTGCAAAACTTTTTCTTTACAAACAAAACTTGGGAAGAGGAGAATGCTCTCAGTTTCCAAATCTTTCGAAATTGCAAATTAGAGATGAAGATATGCTGTCGACACTTAACGGCTCTTCATACAGACCCAAACCAAAGATTTGAAGATATTCTTCACTTGGATATTCCTGACTGGGTGTTGAACCGTTTTGCATGTGGACAAACTTAGATCCCAAACACAGATGAATCCATACTAATACAGGAGCAGCTTATTGAAATATCCACAAATGAGAAACTTAAACCAATGTTTGAACAAGGATACCACAAATTCTGGTTACAAAAACAGATCCCAATTTTATATCCTGCGTTATGGGTTATTGTACAGAAGCTGTTAACTGCTTTCCCGTCTTTCTATTTGGTAGAACGTGGATCAGTGCCATTATGAACCTCATCACAAAAGAAAGAAACCGATTAGAAATTATACGCTCATAACATCTCATCACGTTCATCCAAGTCATTAATTTTTTATATATTTTATTTTAACAAAAGTAATTAATATTATAATTTATATATATTTATAATTTATGATTTCAAAAATACTTCTTCAACAAAACTTTTTTTAAATTTGTAATTTTTATGTTATGCATTTATGTGGCTTTTTCACTTGGGGGTCCGTGGGCAATATTTGACTATAAAAAGGGGTCCATGGGTCAAAAAAGTTTATGAACCACTGATCTACATGAATATTCACTTCTATAAGAATTGGGCAGAACATGTTCTACAAACACGCAATGGCTGGTATTATGTATAGTATTCATATGTGGTAAATAATGTTAATTTAATGAATCATGTCTATCCATGTCTGTAGCATTGGCACGCTTAGTATGAGTAATTTTTTTCTGAGCTGGTGCATGTCTGTGGTGTGGTGTTAGTGACTGTTCAAATGTTTTTAAAAAATCTGCCTTCATCATCTACTATTCATAGAGCGTGTAGAATAATCCTTTTTTTCTTTGTAAATTCATTGGATGTACAGCAAATATTATTTTCCATTTTTGCTCTACTTCCAAACAATCCAACTTATTTCCTTCTTCCTCTTCAAGTAAAATTCTTCAACCGAAATTATACATGCTTAAGCTTAAACAAAGTTTGTAGAAACGTTTGCCGTGACCTTTCTGGTTTGAATGTCGGCATCTGTAGTTCGTTGTCATGGTGTGAAAACTTATGCTGGACCTGCTACTTGTTGGTTATGTGAATCGACCTTAAGAAATATCCCCAGCCCTGACAGTATAATTTCAACTGTTCGTCAATTCTGTGAACAATTTATTACTCAACTAAGTTTCCATCATACTCGTGGCCTTTTTCAACAACATTGAACAACATCGAACCTGAAACAAAAAACCCTGAGGATTACCCTGAACACAACCTCGATCACTACATAAGTACAATTACAACTGTCTGAATATCACTCGTGAAACTATTTGTCTCGCATTGTGGATACCTAGCCAGGACTGCAAAACTTTTGCCGTGAGGATTTTTCACGGTGAGCTGACTGGCTGTCGCTTTTCTAGTGTTTCGAGCTGTTCCTCTCCATGTAAACACACTTGTCTCGAGTATGAGAATGAACCAGGAGGAGTGCATTCGACTTATCTGAATGTATTACAGCTTCCGATTTTTGTGCGATGCTAAAGATAAAATTCATCATAAGAAGAACAAGGAGAGGATGCGAGAAAGGGAAAAAACATCAAAATAGGACAAAGACAAAAATCATGGCAAAAAGTATCACCATGATAGCAAACTCTGATGCAGCAGTTGGTGTAGTTATAAACGGGATGCCTGTCTCAAACTGATGGCTCACCTTGTCTCATCTCTATGTTGCAAAATGTTTCACCTTATGGACATGGATAACCCAAGATGGCATTTTGCGAGTAATTCTTGTGTTTAGTTGCACGAGTGATTTTTTTGCAAAATGGAAACCCAGCTTAAGATATGAAATATTATATTAGAAGATATATGTGTGCAGCAGTCAGTGCATATCTGACTTGAGATTTTATACCATTTCTGCCAATTTGAAACAGTTGTCTGACACTGTTTTCCTTCCAGCCACATCAATGCGATGTTCTACGAGGAAACAACTTTGGCTGTTCAGTGTCTCTAGATAATTTTATTGCCATTTTTATTTGTTTGTTTGACTTACAAAAATGATGTGCTATTATTTTGCACACCTTTAGGGCAACTCTTTACTTCTGCTGAATGCATATAAAAAAATTCCATCTTTTCACTAGGATTTTTTGGTATAACTGTTCCTAAGTCAATTTTGTGTTTTGGAGCAATGTTTATTTAATGATTATTTTACACACTGAGAACAATGTTGTACAAGCACTGGGTCCGAAAAAATTCTACGGACTTATTTTACAACCCGATAGTTTTTGACGATAAACGCACTATTTAAATGATAATTATTTTATAATTTTGTCAGAAAGACAAATGCACAATTCCAAACATTTGAATTAGATGGAAACTTGGCTGTGGGCAAGGTGATGAACCTACAGAGACCAAATGATTGAGATCAGAATCATCGGTTAATCTGAATAGTTATGACTAAATTATTATATTACTGTAATAAATGTGTAAGTTACGACTCTGCGTCCGACCAATATTGGTATATTGTGCAATTATTATCTAGAATCTTCATTAAAATTAAGGCTTTTTACCGTCTGTTCTTTCAGGCCTTGGCTTTTCTTCTCTCAGGAGTAAGACTTGCCTGCATAGGCCACCAATAGATTTTGCTGTTTATTCTTCTTGACAATATCTGTACAGGCTTGTTTCTGCTGCCCCGAGTCTATGTGTACTATCAATCTAGTCCTAACATGTCCTAGGTTTATTAGTTTCTGTGATGGTCATTTGATAAACTTTTGCATGGGATTTATTTTTATTAAAACAAAATTAGACAATATAACTGGCTAATGTAGTTTTTAACTAAAAATCGTTTTTCGGCAACTTTTCTCATTTTCAATAAATATTTTATTTAGTCTTACAAACAATTTAAAAAATTGACTACTACTTCATATAAAGTTCAAAACAATGAATTATCAAAATGGCTAGTGGTTTTTAAAGCATTCATTCATCTATTAAAAGAAAAAGGACCAAGAATTGGAATTATTCATTTTTTTTAAATATCTGATGTGTATTTTATCATGGTTAAAGTTGTTTGAATTGAAATTTTTTCAGGCTATGGAGACAAGAGAAGAATCGTCTGAAGATGAAAAAATTCGGTGTGCGCTTGACTTGGAAATTTTTTAAATTTAGATTTCGCATAATTAATAAAGTCATATGTTGCAGAAAGGAAGAAACTACACTAATTTCATTGACGACTCCCGATGGGGAGGAAATCAATGTTATACTCAAACACCCAAAAACGAAGATTTGCTTCCGTGAATTGATAGCGAAGGTATACGAATAAAATCTGTACTTCTTTTGTAAGCTATTATTAAAAGAAATTTAATATTTCAGGCATGCAAAAATGCAGGATTATCGAATATTATTGAAGATAAGCTTGAAGAGACAAACATTGTTGTGTAAGTTATTACCATACAATAAACATTATCTTTTCAAAAATAAATAAATAAAATAATGTATATAATTGCTGATTAATTTTGTCATCGGCTCGAATGAATCAACACTCGATTAATTGTGTTTGTGTAGTGGTCCTAACGACTTTGATGGAATACCTGAAGTGAAAAGTTCATCTATCCGGGAAAAGGTAATTATTATAAATTATTATTAATTTTCATGTGGCTAATTGAATATTTTTCAGTCCACTCAAAAACAAAAGAATGTACCTCAAATGAACAACAAAAAGAAACTTACTTCTGGTAATAAATAAAATTCTTTCGAATAATTAGGATGGTAAATATTTAATGTTCAATTTTAGATTACGATGCTAGAAAGTCATACATTAACTTCAAGCAGACAAATAACGTCAGAGTAGTCTGTCGATCGATTCGTTTTGGATTGTATAAAATATTTCAACCCTTAAAGCTCACTGCCTTGTTTTCGCATTTGGGTATCAAGTTTATTATGCGAGAACCCAAGGGTAAATATTTCAGTTTTATTCGATAATAATATAATTGCACGGACTTTTTTTTATGGTACGTTTGTACTAAAGTTGCAGAAATTACACTTCGTAGCGTTGACATTGTAAGGATTTTGATGCATTTTGGGCCGACTCTCCAGGCTATAATAATTTACGTTCAACCGTACACTGGCAAGTCAATCCGAGAAGTTCTTAAGATAACACATCCTCCTGAATCTTTGACTTATTTTGACCCTTGTAGCCCTGGTAAATGTAGCTTTTATCTCTGGTCGCATTTTTCGTTAGCTTTTAAATAAATAATTCAATCCGGTTTAGACGCCGTTCTCCAAAGGATTACCTTGTTTCCTGCAAGTATCACACAGTCTTCGTTCAAGTTTATTAAACAAATGTTCTTCGATAAAACACATGGAGGTGATTTATCAATTCAAGATCTAAATCTACTCCTGTCTCAAGATGTGAGTTAAACTTTACATTTTCTTTCTTTTTTTTAAATTTGATTATAATTTTTATTTTAGATAAACTATTTGCAAGAAAAAAACATGGATGCTAAAGTAGAAAATAAAGATATGAAAGTGAAGCAACCTTGTGATAATGTGAGCGAGAACATTTTTTACAACATATTAGTACAAATTAAGATTAAGTCGATATTAGAAAATTTGTGATTTTTTTATATTTTTTATTGTTACATACATCTACAACTTTCATTACAATAAGTAAATTCGATAATTCATTGTCTAACATGATAATTAAAGTGTGTGGTGATTAGTGACTGTTAATCGATGATTATTCAGAAATCGTGAGATGCGGTCTTTCAGAAAAGTTTTTCCACATCCTACATGTATTTGTTAAATTTAAACAATGTTTGTAAATCCCAGGCCCTGAAGATGATCTCAATAAAGATCGAAACGTTGGCATGATAAAGAAAATGTTTTTCTGAAACCTACATCACACCAGACCGCATCTCACGATTTCTGAATAATGGTAATTAAACATGAGGGGAGAAGCCACCCACTGGTAACATCCTCATACTGAACCCACATACACATCATTGAAGCAAATCTCAAGGCCATTGCCCCTCCAGCGGACATGGAGGATTTCCAGTAGGGTTAGTATGAACAGTTGTTGGACAAGGGGTTAGGATTTATAGAAAGGGTGTTGTGGAATTTCTTATAATGTGTTCTTACAAGGTCGTGAACAAATGTCAGTGTGAAAAATTGGAGATGTACAAAAGGTGAATTAAGGATTTTTCTTAGGATTTTGAATTGGATGTCCCAATAGAGCCCCAAACTTCCATTCCGTAGGTCCATATCGGACAAATGAGAGTTGTGTAAATGGTCAGTTTGTTATTAAAGTTTAGACGAGATCATTGGTCCAGTAAGTTGTAAGAGTTGTCTTGTCATTTCAGGTGGTGTGTGGATTTCACATCAATCTTTTATGAATGTACAGTCCCAGGTATCATACTATGTCAGCAGTCAATATCACTATGTCATTATGGAGGACAAAGTGATTTTATTAGTGCGAACGTGATGAGCACTTTTGCTTTTGTTCACTTTGATTCTTCATTTGCGGTACCAGTCTTCTAATAGGGCGAGGAGACTTTACAGATAGTTTACAATGGATGGGTTAGAGTGACAAGAGACGATAGCCATGTCGTCATCAAATGTGGAGATGACTGTGTTTGGGGAAGTACGAATGTCAGCATTGTATATTATAAAGAGGATCGGGCCAAGGATACTTCCTCGTTGGACTGCAGATCTTACCGGAATATAAAAGGAAAGTGACAGACGGCAATGTGAATAAATTTGAAAACTATGTATATTTTTGACTAGTGTTGAAATTACAATTCAATTCTTGTTTTGCCACTTTGAGAATTAACTGAGTTGTTGCCAGCATGGTGTAACTTAGATGCATGGTCATTTCGGCTTCAAGCACAAGCTCATCCAAGCTCTTCGTAAGCTTCTAATCAATCCATCCTTTCCCTGTAAATCCTGTGGGGCAATCTTTGAGTAGCTTGTCAATCCATTGGACTCAGGATTTTAACAAACAATAATTTATGTTGATAAGTGTAGAAGTCAGTGGAAGTATGGTAACCTCGTTTGTTTGCCCAACTTTTGTATCTCATGTACGTGATACTGGGTTCGACTACCTGCATTGCCTTTAGAATTTTACTCAAATACGTTAAATTGTACAAGCTCTGTGAAGTGTTCTGCCCTCTGACCATTCGTTAAAACTTAACTGGTTAGATATTAACACTTTGTGTCTTATACTTGACTATTTTGGCTGCCCATGGTGAACCCAATTTATCATGTAGATAGAAAATAACTCCCTGGTACTTAAAAATAATGTAAATGATTTTATTTTTTGACCTAGTTTTGTCCTCCCTGGAGTGGCGCTAAGTAAATAAATACACTAATATTTTCATCTCAACCGTACTTTACATACAAATTATAAATCACTTGGGATAATTGTTCTTTGGTCAGCTAAGACCAACAAAAAAATAAATATAATAATTACCGAATTACCTGTATTTCACTAACAACTCCCTGTGGCCACTGCAAATTTACCGAGGATCCAAACGATTACACGTAATTTGAATGTTAGGCAAAAAAGAGGGGAATTTAAAAAAGTTGTAGGTTAGATGACTTCTCGTGGGTACCGAAGTTCGTGGATTCGAGTCCCTCTCGTGACACTAATCTTTTCATCTCAACCACACTTTATATAAAAATTATAAATCACTTTAAAAAAAAGAAGATAAAATGATTGTATGTAATCAGTCAAAATGGGTAAATAATTGATTAAAATAATAAAACATTCACAGAGAAACAAATTACATGGTTTTCACAGAATAAATTTAAAAAATCACTTCCAGTTGAAAAAAATTGAAACGGCCATAGCCAGAGACAGTTTTGCCTTTTCTGAGGCAGCCCTAGGAATTTTAAATGGAATTGTGAAGCTGGTAAAGTGGAGGGAGAGTTTGAAAAGTATAAACGGGAGGATGCAGACCGTGCGTCCACCCCCTCCTGATTCATCAGAATTTTTCTACATTGTTTTAAGTTCTTTCTGTTAAGAATAATGAACAAACATATTTTGTTAATAAATATAATTTATTATTTTATGAAAGACTAAAAAAGTGCAGAAACAAAATTTGTAAACAAGACACTTAGTATAATCTATCTCATATGAAAATTATGTAATATATTTGTTTAAAAAAATAGAATGAAAAGAAAATGCCAGTAGTGACTGTGGAGTCAACAGAAAATATTGATGACTATCCTGATAAAGACTGTGAGAGGTATACGGTTCATTTCAGTAAATGTTATAAAATAATTTTGCATCATAAAATATGTTATTGCTTATTTGCTGAAGGGTGGAACCGATTCTAGTCTACAAAATGGGCAAAGGGGGCATAACAATCTACCCGGAGAACTTTGCCTGTCTCGAAAACAGCATGTACATCGATGATATAATCATCGACTTCTACCTCATGTGAGTGACGGATTTTATTTCCGTTTCATTTTCAAAATTTTAGTTTTGTTCAGGTGGTTTTATAAGAACAAACTGGGTGCTGAAGACCAGAAGAGGACGCATGTATTTTCTTCGTTCTTTTATACCCGGCTTACTTCGGATGAAAATAGTACGATTCAGGATAGGCATAACAAAGTGGCACGTTGGACCAAGTCGTTGGACATTTTCTCAAAGGATTTTCTCATCGTACCTCTTAATATTTGGTAAAGCTTATCTACAGCTGATTCATCTCTTGCTAATTATCTGTAACAAATATTCTTTGTATGTGACAATTTGTGTATGTCTATAATTATTTTTAAAACGTGATTTTGTTTCATTAAAACATTGGTTTCAGCCAACATTGGATGGTTGCGGTTATATGCTTTCCATATCTGGTTACACAATATTTCTCAGTAAAATGTTCTGAAACAGAATCTAACCTTGAAATAGGTGATAATTCATCTAAGCATAAATCTAAATAATTAAATTATTTCCTAATAGATTAATAATTAATTTAAGCACATACTTCTGAGTCGACCATTGCTCAGGAGGATGTTTTGGACCTGAGCAAAAAGGTAACCGAGATATTCAATGAAAAATGCTGTCAGGTTTCTTCAGAGTCGCCAAGTTGTAACAACGATCATGGCTCAGTGGTGACGGTTGAAAAGAATCCTGCTAATCCACAGTGATTATTTTCCCTCCTACTTTTGTATATGACAAGATTTGTTCCTAAAATATTCGTCTTCTACAGACCTTGTATATTCCTTTTTAACTCGCTGGCGGGCGGAGGAAATACCGAACTGGATCCCCTTAGGGAGTACTTGACCGTTGAGTATTCGAAAAAACACAAAGGGAAGAAGTGCATCTTCACAAAGAAAAACATGAGACACATTCCTACTGATGTCCCTCAGCAGACAAACGGGTCCGACTGTGGTCTATTCGTCCTGCAGTATATCGAGGAGTTCTTTCAGGTAAAGGTGATCCTGCTAAAAATTAAATCAAGATTTAATGACTTTACGTTTTCAGAATCCTATTAAAAATTTCGCCGAACCAGTAATATTGCCGACATGGTTCCCTTTATGCAGGGTCGAGGAAAAAAGGAATTTAATTAAAAAATTGATTCTAGATTTGAGGGATCAATCAAAATGTGATTAATTTGGTCCTTTTTGTTTGTAGCTATTTTAAATTGGTTGTGAATATTATAAAAAAAATCATTGCAATTGTTTTTCAAATTATTTTGAAAGACGACTTAAGTATTTATTTAGTAGTTATTTACAGCTTTGTATTTATAAAATTATTTCTTTTATTATATGATTGCCATTGACCATGGTGTGCTTTTGCAGTACAACCATATTTTTTAGTATGACACTTTTGTCACTTAGCATTTAAAATAATTTTTAGATCATGTAAGGCATTTATTACCATTTTTTAAATCAGACCTAAATCAATATAATTTATTTACATATATTAAAAATATATCATATACTTGTATATAGAATTAAAATTATATGAAAAACAATTTTATTTAAAGTCATTGCATACCTGTAATTTTTACTATCTGTAACTAATAGAGATATCCATGTAAAAAATAAATTAATTGAAAAATAAAAATAAACCAAAAGCATTAAAAACTTTTCTTGTAATTTTTGTTTCTTAAATTCACATGAGGCTATTCCAGGATGGTTGAAGATGACCACATTAGTATAGTTTTTACTCTTCTTTTTCACTTGTTGGATTTTTATATTTCTCGGGTTTCTTTTCAGGAATTAAACAAAAATCAAAATCAATTATTTTTTATTGATATCGATTTTGGGGGCATCAACCTCCCATCATCAGTCTCGTTTTCTTTTTGGAAACTCATGAATGTGTTCTGAAATCGAAAAGAAACCCATGAAACATTTTAGTAGAGGTTCAATATAAACCACACAAGCTAAGTCAAACATTTTGCTGCAGTCACTATCAGTCATTGCCTATTGTTTCATAAATGTTTGCTTCAAACAAAAAGCCAACAACAACAACCAAAAAAAAAGGAGCATATTTGTCCAAGCCTCTATCTAACAAGAAACGACCGGCTGCTGCTATTGACAAGGTTGCGGACACAATGATTATTTCATGCTAATAATTACTTTCACTCTCCAGCCTCACACTCTCAACCCAGAGTACTTGATATTCCTTCGGGGGTTTAAACCCTCCATTCATGCTAATAATTACTTTCACTCTCCAGCCTCACACTCTGAACCAAGAGTACTTGATATTCCTTCGGGGGTTTAAACCCTCCATTCATGCTAATAATTACTTTCACTCTCCAGCCTCACACTCTCAACCAAGAGTACTTGATATTCCTTCGGGGGTTTAAACCCTCCATTCATGCTAATAATTACTTTCACTCTCCAGACTTATGGCCATATCCCTTGCGCTTACAGATGTCCAATTGAACCATAATACGGTTGTTCTTTTTTGTGACTGCTACAGTGCCCTGCAAACTATTAAAAGTTATAACGTCGAAAGGGTGTGGGAGACAGTGTATGAACTATACTTAAGGGGAATTTCCATTTCCTTTGTATGGATTCCAAGTCACATAGGAATAAAAATCAACGAACGGGCAGACGTTGCCGCTAAAACAGCCCTGCGCTTATCTGAATCTGAACAGCCCGTGTGTGCAAAGGATCTCGTTTCAACCTTCAGAAGAAAGATATTAAAAAAATGGGAATCTGAATGGATGAATATTGGAGACAAACTAAAAAAGATAAAAGACAGTATTTACCCCTGAGAAACTTCCTATCAAACGAATAGGAGGGAAGAGGTTATCATCTGCCGACTCAGAATTGGACACACAAGAATAACACACGGGTTCTTGATGGAAGGTACTGACCCTCCTGTCTGCCTATGTGGTGAACGCCTAACCATCGAACACATCTTGTGCCCCCCAAGGAACTGCCAACGGTTTTACACATCTTCCTTACACCTCCCACTTAAACAACTCCTACAGGATAAGCAGCAAATGGTTGACAAAGTCATCGGGTATCTTAAAAAAATAAAACTATACAACTATATATAACAAGAACACTACATTAACATACAACATAAGCAACAAAATTCAGCTGGCTGTACGCGCTCCCCAGAACTGACACACATACGAATCCAATACACTCACATACCACTGTACACATAGCTACATAAAGGCAATGATAGCCCTTGCTGGTTTTTTGCCTATTAAAAAAAAAAAAAAATACTCTCCAGACTCACACTCTCACCACCAGAGTACTCGGTATTCCTCAGGGTGGGTTTAAACCCTCCATTCATGCTAATAATTTACACTTACACGAACACATAATATATACATACATTTAAAAACTCTTATAGCCCTGAAGTACTGAAACAGTGATCCATGCTCGTCCTGCAGCTACATTGCAAATAATGCTTAATCTTTTGGTACGTAATAGGCACCAATGCAGTTTCTTTCCCAACAGCAAGTGCCCATGGGTAAGCCAGGTATGACCTGACGTCTCTGCATTACCTGGTAAATAAGGCCTTTTCCCTTCTTAACTCGACCAGGCCAGTATCTGCCGTAAATTGGCAGAAGTCTATTCCCAGCCATTTTCCCATATTTTTTTATATTATTTTTCATTAATCCTTATAAAGCTGGGCGGACAGGGTGGGATGGTACAGCCTCTTTAGCTGCTTTGCTTCTTCATTCTCACCTATCCCTATATGGCCGGGAATCCAGACCAGTATGACCTTCTTCCCATCAGCATTGGTCGATCCCTTTTAATTGTTTGCATATTTTATTTATTGTAAAAGTACCTTCACTACCTCAGTAAAACACCATTTGACATTGTTTCAGTAAAATTCTATCACAATGATAAATTTCATTTGGTTTTTTTCAATCAAATTGACAAATCCAGTGTGTTTTGGGCCTAGTAGTAGTGTGGTCTGTCTACTGTCAGGGTAAACAAAAAAGGCAGTACATAATACTTGGGTAAGTAAAAAATATATTTCTTAATGCATTTAAATAATTATAAATTAAATGGAAATACATTATTTGGTATATACTGTAAAGATTTATTTCTTTATAAAACTTTTTACATTTCAAAATCATTTGACCATACGACAAACAAATAGTATTTATTCATACGATTACACATTACAAAATCAAAAAATAAGTTATCACAGTCAACCTATTAATCATAATGATAAGATTTTGTATTATTTGGAGAAATGGTTGTGTAGAAGCGTTTTTTGTCTGGTGCAAATGGGCTGACATGTTCCCTTTTGTGGTAACGCATTTCAATCACTTTGTTGAAAAATCGGCTCAGTTTAACAGCAGAACTGCTCCCAGGAGCCAGAGACCTCGGGTCCATGTTATCCTAATTCAAAAAGACTAGCGATATTTTTGTTCTTTTATTAAGAAAATATTTAAACAACTAACAAGGTTTATTTTATCAGCACCCCATTCCTGAGCAATATCCAAACCCATCATATTTCCTTGGACACGTTTCTCCCCAGCCAGATCAAGCTTAGTTCCAATGAAAATCATAGGTAACTGAAACCGTTGTTTTAAACGTACAATAATATTACATAACAAATATAACAAAATAAATAATACAGATAAATATAAATACCATATTTGATCCTGCACATTGTTCTGAATCATATTCTTCAAAACCTTGTTTGGCTTTATACGAATCTCGATTCACAACTTCCGAAAGCCAACACTTTAAATTTTGCTGTGATTTACGGTTTGTCAAGTCATGCACAAAAATCAAACCTATGTAAAATAAGAAGACAATTAGCAGTCAAACTGATTCAACATCAACTGAAACATTAGCAATCAAACAAATGAAGAAATGTAATTATTTACTTAATTACTTTGAGAAACAAATTAAATAATTGATTCTAATGTACAAAACAGGTTAAATGTACAACTGCAATAAAGATTTTTATTATAAAATATCACCAACTACAGGAAGTTGCAGGTTGTGCAGAACAAATGCTTGAGACTGATTGGTTCCTTTTACAGGTGGACGCCAATAGACTACATGCATTCAGTATTGGAGGTGACTAGTGTCTCTACACAAGTCCACAGTATAACATCAAGATTTTGCAAAGCTTGTGAACTTAGTGAATACACTAATATTAGAAATATTGTTAACTATGAAGCTGCCTCCTTGCAGACACTTTACAAAAAATATAAGTACAAAAGAGTGAAGCACATTTTGCTGTAAATTAACTATATAATGTAGTATTAATATTGAGATATGTTTAAATTAGTTATTTTTTACTTCAGATCAGGTATATAGGCAGGAAGCCTGAAGCCAGTCTTTTAATTTCTTTGTAAATTCTGTATATATTTTGAAAATAAAAATAAATTTCATTTCATATTATAAAATTATTTCTATTCAATAATATTGTTAAGTGTTTGAATGAATTATATTTTTAATCTGAGGTCTTGGTTGAGATGAAAAGCAAGTGTTACGAGCAGATTCGAACCCACAACCTTCAGTTAATTTAATTAAAAAAATAAATAAATATAAAAGGACCTGGCTTACTTGAAAAATATATTTTTTTATAATTTCTTTTGGTTATTGATAAAATTTGATACTGATAGCTTTAACTATATTTTTATTGCAATCTATATAAAAAATGCTGTTAAATAAAGTATTTAAACAGTTGATTTAAGCAAGTGGAACGGTGAAATAAAAATTTAAAAAAACCCAGAAAATTTCAACTTTCAATTTTTTTTTTTTTTGGGGGGGTCCAATATTTTGGAGTGCAGAATCACCAAAAGAACCCAACCCATGGAGTGTTCAATGGTCCAAACCTGTTAGCCTGGTCGGTCCCCTTGTGAATATAATTCAACTAAGTATGCACAAAATACTCTTATTTTTACTTACTTAATCAACATGTTATTATGTAATTGTTTTCTAATATTATTTAAATATATTTTAAATTATGTTATATCAATTTACAATGAAAATTTAAAAATTAATGATAAATAAGAACTTTATAAGGTATATTTATATGAAACATTATTTTAAACTATTTTCTTATTTTACATATTATTAATACTTAAGTAATTTTTCCTTTATTTTCTTAGTTTTGATTTTATATTTATATATTTTATACATTGTATATTTCTATATTTAAACGTTTGTAAATTGTAAAATATATATTATACTATTCCTTAAGAGGGTAGCCAAAGAGGGGGCCAACATGGCTTAGCATCCTGCCACAAAAGTGGATACAACTTAAAATGGATCTTTAATGAGACCAAAACCTGTGGAACACCACAGGTATGAGACACGCAAAGAGATTCTAGAAGGACCATCGGCAAAACGTACAAAAGAATTACTGCAAGGCAACCGCAACAGAACTGGGATTCTGGTTGGATTCCTAACAGGGCACTGTCACTCAAGAAGGCACATGCACCGGATGGTCCTTAGAGGTACAGACAGAAGAAACACTGTGCAGATACTACCAGGAAGAGCGGGAGACCGCAGAACATATTTTATGTTTCTGTGAAGGTCTATGTGGGTGCAGCTATTTGCAACTAGGAGAGGAAAAGCCACAAGCTAGATCCTACACTAAGGAGCCGCTGACAAAACTATTGAGGCTGATTAATAACCTGAGCTTGGCCAGTGAGTTATAAAAAACAGAAAAGAACAATAGATCTACTCAGGTTGAGGTGCAGAAGGCCTTGTGGCCACTTCTTTAATCCCTATCCTTAAGTTTTAGGGATGTTTCACTGTAATATAAAAGTCAGTGATGCGATTGAGGCGATCGAATGGCTGCATATTAAAAACAATAATAAAAAGAAAAAAAAGAATTTAAAAAAAATTAAATACCATGTACGCCATTGTAGAATGTGGTCCTTGTCTTCCTGTGATTACTGCTTCCACCGACATCCCACAATTCAATGAAGTACGTCTTCTGGTATTGGGTCCCTTCTCTGAATTCATGAAGTTTCACTTCGACAGAACAGCCGACTGTCCAAGATGGATTACTTATCGGCTCATTGTGCGCTATCAAGTGTGTCAGTGATGATTTTCCAACTCCTGTACCAATACAGAAACATCAGTGAGCCCCTCTATGAGCTGTGTATTTCAGTACATAATATTTTTTATGCTATATGTTACTTGTCCTTAGATTGATCTTATCTGATCAAGTTACAGACAAAATTATACAACGATCTGAACGGAGTATACAATCCGACAAACTACATGCCGACATTTGAAATGTTTAATGTTCAAATACATTTAGTTATGAGATAATTATAAAGAAAAAGTGAACAATTTTGTAAAACGAAAGAATATAAAATACTGTAATGAACAAATATATTATTAAAATGAAAAATCTACCTGAATCACCTAAAACCAGTACTTTCACTTTTTCTATTGCAGCCATTAAAACATTACGTTGCAATTCGAGGAATGATATTGCAGAAATAAGATTAAAAAATTAATTAGCTATAAAAACAGTTAAACTGACCAACAACATAGTTGAATTGATGTTGAGGTTACGAAATACGAACTAAGGAAAGAAAGAGGGATTTTCATGGTTGCATGCAAGGGAGGCCTATCCCCTCACTCAAGCATCCTCCAAAATCCAATTATCCTAATTTTTTTAAACAATTTTCACTCGAATATTGATATTTTTAAACGTTTTAATTATTAATTATACCGAAAAAATTCAATAAGCCAATTGTCAAATTAAAATACTTTTTTTTTTTTCAAAAAAAGGCAGGATTGATTTGATTTATTCCAAGATTATTTATTTATTATGCAGGCAAAACCTATTAAAATATTCAGTAGTTACATACATACATTGGAGGGAAAATATAGATTCATTATAAAACATATACAGTTAATTAAATAAATAACTGAACTAGAATACTAGTGGTTCTTCTAGAATCTAAATTATATAAATGTAAAAGACAGTTCCTGGCCTGCAGAGGCTGGGTCCAGAAGAGAAAAGGTCATACTAACCAGGTTGCGAATAGGTCTTACCTAGTTCACACACAGACACATTCTAATGGGGGTGAGACCAGTTTTAGGTGAAGAGCTTATTGTGATAGAGCATATAACAGACTACAAAATAACTAAGTCTGCAATGAAAAAATACATTGTATGACCTGTGTGTGGCTTGAGGCATGTCAGGAGGTGCAGATCACTAATAGATCTGTGTACCTTCATGTATGGGATATGTGTTATTAATTGGAGTGAATGTATTTAATGGTCTGAATTGAGGAGCTTATCCTCCAATTATCCCGAGGAAATGGAGTACTCTGGGGTAGTGTGAATGATTTGTGCTGTGTATATGGAATTTATTAGCGTGAATGTAAAGGTTTATTCACAATTATCCCGAGGAATATTGAGTACTATGAGGTGGTGTGAATGAATATGTGAATTTAATTTATTAGTGTGAATGGAGGGGGTTATTCCAATTACCCTTAGGAATAACGAGTACCCTGAGTACTCTGGGGTAGTGTGAATTGATTTGTGCTGTGTATATGGGATTTATTAGCAAGAATGGAAAGGTTATTCACAATTGTCCTGAGGAATATTGAGTACTATGAGGTAGTGTGAATGATGTGTGCTGTGTATATGTAATTGATTAGTCAATTCACTAGTTTCTGCTTGACCAATTAATATTAACCAATTAATTAAGGTTTTCAGTTGAGATAAAAAAGTCAATGGCACAGCGGGATTCGAACCCACGATCTTTGGCTTGATACGCCGCTGCTCTACCACTTCAGCTATCGTGACCTCGAGCACTCAGACACCAACCTCCCATCTTAACCACACCTTTTGAATTTTCCCTCCTTTTTGCCATTTTTCAAATGTCGTGCAATAAATTTGATTCTCGGCTAGTGCCATTGACTTTTTTATCTCAACTGACAACCTCAATTAATTGGGTAATTTATTAGAATGAATGGAGGGGCTTATCCCCCAATTACCCTCCAAAAATATATAAGTATTCAGCATTCATTTCTTTCTGATGGAGTGCATGGGACCTTTTTTCAAATTCCTTTGTATATTTTCTTTTATAATCCAATATGTTCATTATGTCCTTCCATTATCCTTTCTACCTTTTTTTCCCACCACTTTGTACTTGATAGTTCTCATACTTACAGCCACTTTAGAAACATACATAGAACTGTACGATCCGGAGCTGCTGGCTTCTCGTCATGCCAAAATTCTGTCACTTTTCACATATTGAGTGCACCACCTTTAAATGGTGGAGTGAGTTCAATCTTTTTAAAAACATAGTTCCTACTCACAGTTCGTTGTTTTCAATGATCCAGATTTCAAGTTTATAGCACTCATTATCAGGTTGAAGTAGTTCTACAACCACGTCTCTCGACATGGATTGCAAGACTGAACACCACAGATAATGATATTGCTAGTACAATGTTTTAAATGAAAATATTGTTGATGATTGGGTTGTCGGTGGCCACAACGGTTTAAGTGTTGACATGGCAGTATTTTTTTTTTTTTTTTTTTTTCAAAAACACCAGGACCCCAAGGGTTCTTATAACCTCTTATTTGAAATACCCTTGTTAAAAAAAGTCAGTTTAATTTGGTTTTAAACCACTTAAAAATAAATGAAACTGATATTTTTAAGAAACTATGACAAATTAACCTACTTCTACCCTTGCATGCAAATTATGGATAATAACTTATATATAACTTGCATACATCTCTTAAAATTTGTACTAAAACACTTTGGATTTTTAATTCACTATAATAAAATTAAAAAAAAAAAATAAACTACTCTTTTCTATATTATTATTACTATTGCATTTATGATAGTTCGCAACAGCAGAGGTTATATCAATATTTGGGGTGCTGGTGTTTTTGAAAAAAAAAAGCCCATTTATATGTCCGGTTCAAATGCAGGGCCGCTGGATTCGAACCCAGAACCTTTACCTTACAGGGATGAGGCTGTATCAATGCTTAAACCATTGCGACCACCGATCCCCCCCCCCAAAAAAAAAAAAAAAAAAAAAATCAACTCTACCTTTTTTATTAGACCAATATGCAAATTTTCTTCAATTATCTGGTCTTCTCACTACTCTCAAATGAACATGATCAAAACGGTTCACACTGCTTTCTTAGGTACTGTAACTGGTTTTTCAACCACAATTTTTTGATTGCGAGTGTGATCTATCTGTTCTGAACATTGATACTATAGAGGGAATCACTAGGCTTGACTGATTTTTTCTCTACATATTATCAAATAACTTGATGACTAGTCCTGAACTACTTTCCTGTATAAGGTTCATGTCCTTAAATACAAACTCATAATTTTTCAATGCTCCTCACTGTTCCCGTAACTACCAGTTACACTCTCCCATTAATAGATTAAAAGTTTTAAAAAAATTAGTTTTAAAATGTTTTATAATATTGGAAATTAATTTGCTCCCTTTATACATTTTATGTAATTCATATATATAGATATTATATGTATATATGTTTCCAATATTTTTATTATCTTATGCATAATTTTATAGTTTTATATAAATTAGCTAGCAGCATGCATATATAAATAAATAATTAAATTATACCACAGTATCACAGGAAAATAGTTTTGTAGAGGATTAGGACTAATTTAAATATGGAGTTTGAAAGGATTGAGAAAAAACATAAATATTTAAAAACCAATATATGATATCGATTTTATAAACATATACATACTTAACACAATGTAATTTGTCTATATTTATATTTAATTTACATTTACATTAATTTATTTTTCCTAACATAGTGACTAAATTTATAATGGCTTTTTTTTAGTTAATTTTTTATGTATATATATTTTTAAATAATAGAAGTAAACAACATCTGTGAAAATTGTTAACAATAATGCCAAGAAAATATTTCTATTCATTTCATGAATACACAGACAGCTTATTGTTCACTTATATAAAACAGGTAGTTGTTTTGTATTATAAACATTAACAATTTTCACACATTGGTGAATTCCCCCCCTCCCAAAAAAAGAAGAAAAAGAAATAAAAATAAAAAAAATAAAACCTTCATTTGTTGTTAAAATTCACAAGTTAATGTTTCTAAAACTCCACAAAAATATGTTTGTTATATTTTGTAAATAATTATTTACATTGTTTTACATTTTATATTTTGTGGTTTATAATTGGTCAAACATATTTTATTCTTCAAGTTTTTCATTTCTTTATACACATATATATATATTATTTTTTTCAAACTGCAATTCTGACTCTAAGGTACAAACAAGTATTGGCCACCCTGATGAATAAGATTATTCTAAGACAGCACATACTTATGGCAGGAATGAGTGAATATTTTGTTCACTACTAATTACAGAAAAATACATCTTCAAATGAAACTGTACAAAAAAACACTTGATTTTAAATATTAAAATCAAAACTGTTAATTAATATCGGCCCTCTAAATTTTATTGTATTTTCACCAATCACACATGCTCGACTGCTTATTTGTCTTGGTATGTGCAAAAAATCACATTTAGAGGAGACAACTTTGTATTTATTCTGGTTTTTATTTTTGTCAAATCCGTTGCAGGAAATAGTTCAACGAACAGTTTGATTATTGACATTTTTCTTTTTGGTGGACTAAGACGTTCTCCGAATATAATGCCCTTCGAGGGATGGAAGTTGTGATCATGTTTTGATGTACAATGCTTAATTTGATTAAAGGCACGATAACAGAGGATCAGTGTACAAGTACATTTGTCAGCTCAGTTTTTGCAAGTCCAATGCACGATTCGGCTAAACATATGTCAAGCAGGTAGCGTATCGCTTAAGTCATCTTTCAACCATTGGGGTACCACACGCTGACCCAGTCGCTTCAGCAATTTTGCAAGGACTGTGTTATGAGACAAGTAGTATCTCTGAAAAAAAAAATCATGGTTTAATTTAAATATAAAGATATTTATTTACTTTGACAAATGAATCTGTGATCTTACCTGTAAGAATTTGTAGGACCTGTTGTCCATCTGTGGATATATTCTACCTTTACTTCTCCCTAAGCAACCTGAACCATCTTGAGTACTTTTTACTTGACAGAAGAATCCCTTTTTAGGATTATATCTACAATTAAGAATGAAATATTAAATATCTACCATAATAAGTTTATTTATTTATTTTAATTTAAAAAGTTACTTTATATGTGATGAATAATCATATAGTGGAACAATCTTGAGAAATTTCTGCAGTTGGTCCATAATTTCGACTGGGTTTAGTCTCAGAGTTTCACCGTTGATTATGTGCAATTGCTGCTGTGGATAGTAGAGGAGCCAACGTTCTAGGTGTTGAGCATACCTTCCGGGGTTCAAGCATCTATTTCTCAAATCCCTGAGTGCTTTTGGTGCAGTGTCGCTTGCGGTTATCACATCGTAAAAAGAATAATTTAGCGCTACCGGGTCCATATGCGAACGCATATGTTGGTACCAGCTGTAAGCTCGTTTGGCAGGAGATATTAGTATTGTCACAAGTTTTGCTTGGGGGAGTAAGGCGTGCACTCGCTTTGGCACAAGTTCACCGTCAAAGTAAGTCGCCGACTTTTCAAAGAAATACTGCGATGTTGTGTTTTTTGTAATAGGGAAAAAATCCATGTACCATGAGAGACCACGGTAGTAATTTCGCCCGTTGAAAAATTGTATTTCCTCGAACGTTTCAGGACTGTGGATATTGCTGGAAATATTAGGGTGCATTGCTAAAAATGTGTAAAGGGCAGTAGTGCCTGTCTTCTGTGGTCCAATTACAAGGAATTTCGGAAGCTGGTCACAGGTCTTGTTATGCGACCAGATCTTTTTATGCCTTGGATCCTGACAGGGATTCTGTAACATTAGGAATATAATTAATTTTTAACAAACACCTTTGAATTAAAAAAACAAAAAACTTAAATTCTAATTTTTAAATATCAACAAACAAATAGAATTTTGATTTAAATGAATTTTTTGTAATACAAAACTAGGCAATCAGTGTATTGAAATTGACATGTTCTATTCAATCATACCAAGAATTATTGTTAAAGACTTCATAATTTATAAATAACTTTTATTATGCGTGTACAATGCACCTTCCTCCATTTTTTTGCCAAATACAATAACTAACCTGAGAGTCAATGGGGTATTCAATATTCTTCCATTGGTCCTCTCGCACTAACATTCATGCTAATAAATAAATTTACTCTTAAAGCTATGGCATAAAACTATCAGTAAAGTATGCGATAAAACTGTTTCCTCCAAGCTGAGGAATTGCTCTCGTCCATCAGGTGAGACACATTGAGTAACAATTAATTAAGGTTTTTAGTTGAGATAAAAAAGTCAAGGCACGAGTGGGGTTCGAATCCACGATCTTCGGCTAGATACGCCGCTGCTCTACCACTTGAGCTATCGTGACCTCGATCCACTCGGACACCAACTTTCCATCTCAATCGCACCTTTTGAATTTTCCCTCCTTTTTGCCATTTTTCAAATGTCGTGTAATCGGGTTGGATTCTCGACGACAAATGAAATGGCCACGGAGAGCTTTAGTGAAGTATACTTCATTTTGAATCATTAAATTCACTAATTTCGTGGTCTACTTGACCAATTAATATATTACAATTAATTAAGGTTTTTAGCTGAGATAAAAAAAGTCAATGGCCAAGTATACTTCACTAAAGCTCTCGGTGGCCATTACATTTGTCGTCGAGAATCCAACCCGATTACACGACATTTGAAAAATGGCAAAAAAGAGGGAAAATTCAAAAGGTGCGGTTGAGATGGAAAGTTAGTGTCCGAGTGGATCGAGCAGCGGCGTATCAAGCCGAAGATCGTGGGTTCGAATCCCGCTCATGCCAATGACTTTTTTATCTCAACTAAAAACCTTAATTAATTGTAATATATTAATTGGTCAAGTGGACCACAAAATTAGTGGATTTAAACATTGAGTAACCTTTCTAAGCATGACACAATACTAAGTGTCCATGTGTCAAAGTCACATGGCTTCCTTCTATGAGTCAGATCCTCCGAGATCCACCAATTGACAGTACTATTGATATGCGAGAACTTCTCCGTTGATCAAGTCCACTGACACTGGAATGGATGGACAATGAACCTTCTTCCTACACTTTACGGACCGGAGTAGGATGTGAGATAGCCTCAGCTTAACTGTGGCTCATGCCTGTCCTAGTACCAAAGAATGCCCTGGCCTCCTGGTAGGAGAGCCTTTCTACAGTTTTCAAGCATTGAATTTCTTTTTCCTCTGTGAGGCAGGACAAACGCTAGATTGGGTAGTTTGTGCTCTGCTGCAGAATGCAGGTTGGAGGGTCGCTACACGCTGATTCTTTTGGGCGAGCTTCCCTTCCACACTAGCAAATCTTCTGTCGCGACCTACAATGCAGGGAGATACGCCCAAGCCTCTGGTGCCTTTAGCATTGGGAAGGCGCTGGAATATAAGGGTGGACCTATAATAAGGGTTTCACGAGAGGACTAGAATTGATGAAGGGATAAGCTGGGAACTCACTTACCCGATGCTATGCCATGCAACGCTGCATAAGGTTGCATTAACCTCGTCCACATCTATCAGATACTATGCTAACCTAATCCTCGCTCTGCGATCCCCACAACTAACTATTTATTTCATGGTTTTGTTCATAAAATTACACCATTTTCGTCAGGTAGCGTCAGAACAAGACAATCATACACACATTTAGAAAGGAGTAAATATAAATTAATAGTAGACAAAACTTACTCCCCAAACAGGATCTGCTTCTTCAGGATACATATTAAAATATTTTTCAGCCAAAGCGAGTGGCGGTGCACTAGTAAGCTTAAGGTTCGTCCAGCACCTCAGAAACTTTATCACAGACTCAAATGTATATAGAGCCAACCTGTCGTTACCATAATTTGACATGTGGCTCATAAATATATTTATCTAGAAAGAATAAAAAAATAAATTCTTTGTACACACAGTAAAACAATAATTAAATTTAATTACTGGATTATAAACAAAAGTTTGAAAAAGTTCTCCTCCCTGGATGGATTCATCCAACTTTTCTCTCCCTCCAGGATATCGGTTTATTAGAATTGTATGAGTAAACAGGCCGCACGTCTGTCTTGGAAGTACCTACAATGATAAATTGATTAACGTAAAACAAAATTAATTATTTTATAAAAGCTCACCATTATACCGCGATGAATAAATCCTCGTCTGAGTCTAGCGGGCCTGAGATGAGGATATTCTTCTGTTGAGGTAACTTTAATGTTCCAAACATGTTTCCAAGCAAAATATAGAGCTTCGTGTACAGGGTAAACACCAGAATGATGAGGTGCAACGGAATAACCAGAATCTGTTGGGATTCCATGTTCCTGTTGGAAGCATAAAAAAAAAGAAAAAATAGTTTACTTTTACTTCTATGTAATTAAGCTCTGAATAATTTGAGTATGTTGACTTAACACATTGTTAAAAAAAAAAAAAAAATTATACCTTCGCAAAATTTCTGTTCAGAGTCATTTCAAGCTCAAGCTGCGTCTGATTTTCATACAAATGCGGCTGTTGATGATTCCACATATGACTGAACCAAGTAAATTTTTCTATGTTTTCTATATGCAGACAAAAAGAAAAGAAAGTCAAATTAGTTTAGTCAAAGGTCCAAGGATAAATCTGAATATTACCTAACAGCAGGTCGTCCCCTAAATTTTCATCTGATGTGCCATGGTGAAAATATTTGCCAGAGAAACCGAGATTGAACTTAAATCCAGGTACCATGCTTTGGATTTTTTCCTGTGTGCGAAGAAGAGCCAAAACGTCTTCTCTTCTCAGTCTTGTTCCCTTCTCGCCAACAAAGATGTCATCAATATCAACCAAGACATACCTTGTAAGCGAGAGAGAAAGTTGTCCATGGGAGAGATACGACAAGGAATCTAGGAATAATAACCGATGGAGCCAAAATCTAAGACCTGACCCAAAGAATACTCGTTGTATACTGTCAAAACCTCCATGGTCCTGTAAATAAAATCAATTTGCTTTTTATTTTATTTGAATGAAAGCATTATGACACAATCTTTGGGTAAGCAGAAAATAAAAGAAATTTGAATAATGTGCAAGAAACATTGAACAAACAGAAAGGAACAAACCTGCATGACAGTGGTAAGAGGTGTCTTTATGAATTCTTCATCCAGGAGATTGGTGTCTTCTTGCCTGGTATCGTTGATCGCCCAAGCAAGCGGTTCATAAGTAGAATGGTTTGCTGTAAAAACAGTCCAATCTTCACCAGGCAAAGGTCCCCATGCTGTTTCACCAGCTCTCGTCAACCGTAAAATCGGTGAACCTGCATTTAATGCCGCATCCTGCGAATTGCAAATAAAAATATTATGTTTAAAATTATTATAACATAATAAATTTTGAGAACTGTTACATACCCTTAACTTAAGATTTCTATGTATGTACAAAGGAAGACCTCGTAATTGTGAGCCGACCTGCTTTTCATCAGCGCTCAAAAGAAAGCCGATTATCCCCACTGAGTACTCCCGACAGTATTTATCAAGCAACTCTCGATTCCATTTGTCCATTTGGAGATACTTGTGAAGGTTTTCAAAAACTATCACCCCATACTTACCCTTGTCTAAATTGGTAAGGATCGGCAGGGATTTGCTGGCCACTTCGACTTTATATCTGCCAATACATATGGGTAAATTTTTTGTAAATGTATTTCTATTTAAATACATACTTGATCCTATTGTAGACTAATAATTCGGCAATATCCCTGCCTAGGCGGGAATAAGTCGTCTCTACAAAGACGAGGACCTTCGGATCGATCCGCAGACGTGCTGCAGATCGGTGGTCGTGGGCTGGCAGCCTGTTCAGGCCGGACATGACCTGACATCGTATCGAAGGCTCTGGCCTCCATTCTCTTCGAATCAAGCTGAATCGCACAAAAATAATACAGTCAAATTACAAACATTTGACAATGTTGTTAATGTGACAATAAATTGTTCTTATATGCTATGTATATCTACTAAATATCTAATAATCTAATATGGTCATAATACAGAATAGTACATAGATGATGGGAAAAACTTTTTGGAAAAGTTTTGAAGAAATCTGTGGCAAGAAAAATACAACGCATCAAATGTGGGCAATTATTACAGGTCACTGTTCCCTGAGCTCAAGAAAAAACCATGGTTTTCGGAAGGCGATAGCCCAGAAGGAATGTCAAAGGAGTTCTATTCTACTATTTTTAGACTGAAGACAAATCATGGGGTAGCTACAAGAAGAGAATCGGTTTGGCATCGTCTCTGAACTGTCCCACTTGCGATTGCCCTTCAAATCCTTCACACATAATTTTTGAATGTCCAGAATATGAAAATGAAAGAGACAAACTGCTAAAAAATCTGAGCAAAGTCCCAAACATTTCCAAACCAATAAACTTAGAATCTGTCCTAATAAGCAACAATCCATCAGCTTTCAACATAATCTATGGATTTCTAAAGACGATAAACGTTTCTTTTTGATTTTCAACCATGAAAATTTAGAAGATGAGAAGATGATGGAGCTGAATGAGTGGGTGCGGGCGCGCGCGATGATACTTACGTAAAAAGTAAGTAATTTAACTTTGTTTTCTAAAAACGTGAGAAAAAAAAACACAAATTCATATGAGAAAGTCATAAAAATATTGCACCTTTATCACACTAATTTGATGATGAATCGAAAACTGAAAAGTGCAATTTGAATTGTCATAATGTAAATGCAGAGAGGGAATGAGCAGGAGGTAGGTGCACAGAGTATTGCCATAATTTGTATGATCATTGAAAATGCTAAGCGGCTTGCCTTCTTCTTCAGATCATTCGATAGCTACTCACACCCTTTTCCAATGACCCTAATTATTTATTAAAACGAACGTCCAACTTTGGCTGTTTTTTTCTTGGAGTTCAATTCCTGTTCAGAATGTGGTATAATAACATTTTGGAGCTATTGTTCCATACTCGTTTTGAAACCACTAACAAGACATGCAGCTAACATCAGAGCAAGTTGCTATTGTACATCGCACATATTAAATTTCTTTTTGCAAGCAGGATATCAGCCAGCTGTTTCAAAGCACCTTTGTTTGTTAGCCATCAAACGGAATATCTTTTTTATAGTGTAAACACATTTTTATTGACATAACGAAGGCAACTGAAAATGATTGATTTTACAAAACTCCAAAATTTATATATATAGCAGGCAAGTTTGTGGGCCTGACTAAAAAGCAGGCACTAGGGGTGCTAGACACAGTAAACTTAAGCTAAAACAACCGTCACCAAGACTGGTGGTATAGAAATGATCAATGATGGAGTGAGTGTGGTGTTCATTCCTTTTTTTCAAAAAAGATAGTTCCTACTCACAGTAAGTTGTTTTCCAACGATCCAGATTTCGAGACAAGCACGTCTCTCGACATGAATTGCAAAAGTGAAACCCGACTGACACTGGACTACTATCGTCAAGTAGACTGACCCTCGCCGACCAGTAAAACGAGCTACAGCTATCTGGTGTAACAGGAATTACTTTTGTAAGAATTGAGAAAATGTTTAACGGTGTTTCCAACTGGGCACTCTCGTAGATAAAAAAGACCCAAGAATTTATCTACGATACACAGAAATAGAAAAGTTGATGAACAGTGGAGTCCCACTCATCCGAGAGTCCGTAACATCCGAACAGGTTGGCGGAGAGGAAATTGGCTTTTGCAGTTTCTATTTGAAGTTAAATGGTATTGGTGGTCCATTATCGAGGCCTTGCCTTTAACTACTGCCCATTTCATCGCTCGATCCTTAAATCATGGGATTTCTTTTTTTGGCCCGCTTATCCACGCTGATTTGGACTGTCAGACTCGTCTCGGCATGCCACCATCGTGAATGGTGGGTTTTAACCAAAATTATTATTATTTTTTTTTAAGAGGGTTCGCAACAGCAAAGGTTATATCAACCCTCGTGGTGCGCGTTTTTTGAAAAAAAATCACATTTGTAAGCATGTCGGGTTCGAATGCAGGGCCGCTGGATTCGAACCCGGGACCTTAACCTTACAGTGATGAGCAACGTGACAACGCCTAAACCGTTGCGGCCACCGACGCCCCAACCAAAATAATTATTAATGAAGATGCCGCAACGTATCTGACCAAAACAGACGGACCAGAAACGACTAAACTACAGTATTACATCTATCAAACCTTTACAAATCTTTCAATTTCGTTGTGGCTGTACTATCTACATTCGTCCCTTAACCCTTATTGGTCTAATGTTGTCTTAGAAGTATTTTTTGAAAAAAGTTAGCGGGAAATTCCGTGAGTTTAGTGGTAGAGAGTTTAGATTGGCGCAAAATAAATCTGCGTTGCTAATACAAGGGCAGAAACAGAGCAGGAACATGCACCCGCCCTAAACTCATAGGATTAGCTAGCTTTAGCAAATTTGATGTTGCCCTGAGGCAACTTTGGGCAAGAAAGTGTTAACAAACCGTGTCTTGTTTTACTGCTCGGTTCAGCATTATTGCATTTATTTTGGCTAATCTGATATTGGATTTTTTGCTGATTCGAACAGGACTCGTTCTCAATTATTTCGGATTGACCCACTATATTTTGAGGAGCGTTTATGCAATCGATTTTAATTTTCTACTGTTGTCGCGCAAATCTAACCTTTCAACGTAAAACAAAGTGACAATGTACAAGACAATACTAAAACCAATCTGGACGTACGGGGTAGAACTGTGTGGCACCGCCAACCTTCCAACATCCAAAGTGTACAGTCCTTACAAACAAAAGTCCACAGAATCATAGTCAAAGTTCCTTACTACGACTCCAACAACACCCTTTACAACGACCTCAAAATCCCTTTTGTGAAAAAAATAATTTCCGAACATTTTCGAATCCTTATCCAATAGAACCCACCCCTATAAACCCACCAGACGACTGAAGAGGAGTCATGGCCTCGCGACCTACTGAACAAGGATGTCTTCGCGTATAGCTGGGAGAATAGCAATAGTTGTTAACTCCTCTCACGACACATGATCCATGTCGGACGTAAATGGAGCTCATTACATGTTGGAAATAATCTTACAGATAGTAATAAATAAATTAAATTCAAAAAGTGCTATTTCGATGTATGAACGTGCCTATTACATCTTCTCCGGGAATGAAAAGATTAAGTGTGTTTGACATAAGAAATCCCTCCCTTAAATGGAATTTTCCTCCGCACCAGTCTCACGGAATCAAGTCTGGAAAGAAAGTTTCTTTTTGATTCCACTGTTGAGACTCTGAGAGGAAAAATGATTATGGAAAGTGACCTTCGACTAAGGTTTGAAAGAGAAAAAATAAAATAATTTTCATCGAAGTCATTACAAACATCATTTGCACCGCTCTAATTCCAGCGGTGCCTTTTCCGAGATTTCTATCCCGATTGCAAAAATCCAATCAACCCCTATGCGCGTTTCTTTGTGCTCTCCGTGTTTTTACAGCACATAAATTTTGTCGGTGTCTTTAATTTTCGTCTTCGCAAGCCGACGTTGTTTGTCAAGAGTTGGCCTGTTGCCCGGAAGCCAGGATACCAATAATCCTACATCAATCGCACGTCTAGTACTGAGTGACGCACCATACCAGGCATATCGGGTCGTGACATTGTAATTTGACTACTATTTATGTGTGTTTCCCAACAACAATGCACTATCACTATAAACTTAAACCTAACATTTTCCAGGAAATTAGGCTAATTTTTGTCCCCCCTTTGGGCGCCCTAAAAAAACCTTAGTGTTAGAAATTAATTCAGTGAGAAGTCGAACTTTCGAAATCCAAGCGATGGAAAAACATTTTAAAGCCAGCATGAATGACTACATGTCCCTCCTGAGAAAGAGGATTTCCTACTTGAAGAGTTGCAAATGGGTGACAACCAACAACAAATGCCGGAAAATAAAAGATTCAACGCAGAAATGGCTATCATCGCACCATATGCTAGAGAATCCCCCTACATTTTTGCTCTTTATGTACCACATTGTACCACAGAAAGAGCAGAGTTCGAACGGCAAGAGTCCATGCATGAGATTCTGGGCGATGATGCCCCTTGCTTTACTTTTTAAATTTTTCGATAAAAAACGGAGCTCGTAAAAAAGAAATATAGTAAAGTAGAATTGGGATCGAAGGGGGAGGAGATGGAGATTTGTGTGTGGGAGTGCACCCTTGAGCGGATGGTACGGTTGGGAATACTTGGCGGTCAGATGGGTGAGTACCTTGGGCAGGTTTAGCCCCGGGTCTGTTAAAACGCAATAAATGCGATGTAAATGGTTTTTATTCACAGTCCGCACAAAACCTGTGAATCCCCGTGTACACTCGTTACCCATAGGGGTTGAGACTGCTCATCTCTCCTCTTGAATTCACCCATGTGGAGAAGAATATCTGAGAATGAACAGCTTCAATCCGAGGTGTGTGCCGTCGGTCACACATACTCGGATTCGTCCCTCGAGATGATGGGTGGTCGATTCGTTCGACGCCTGAACGGCCATCTCATCTCTTTTATCCACTCAGAGGAGCCATACCCCATTAACTGTGGGACTGCGGTGACAATCGGTGGTACAGTGTGGCCGAAGCGGGGGTGCAACCTGAAAAGGTGAGTCTCGTGTCCTCGGTCACTTGCATTTCTCAATCCAGGACCTTCGGCATATTTCCTTGAAACCTCTCCCAACCCTTGGATGCAACGCACAACATAATGGTGTAGCTTCGAAAGAGTGGCACCCGCTCTAAAACACAAGCTAGATTCGTGTCGGCCTCCGGGTCATCAGAGGCACACGAGGGTTAGGGTACCAGATCCTGTCTGCATAGACGGGGGAGGGTGCATAACCTCTGAACTACGGGGTAGCAGAAAATGTTCATCTCTCGTTTTGAGAATCAAAGCGTCCGGTCGGGCCGAAAGGCTAGGTAAGGACGTTATAGATCCGCAAGTCTTTTTAAGGGCTCAGAGTAAATAGCCAAAAAGACGAATGCTTACGTCCTGATGGCAGCGCTGGGTGGGCTGTCACTTGGGTGGTGTTGTTCCCTGCCAAACACTTCATTTCCTTTTCCACGCTCTACTATTCGACCGCAGTACAAACTTTTACCTGACTATCAAGAAGATAAATGGCTAAATGACCATAATGGTTGAAGGCCATTTATAAAAGAAAAACAACACTATTGTCAACAGGCGCTAGGCCCTCCGCATATGGGTCGACTGTTTTGTTAAGCGGGTTTCAAACCAGTGTGCAACCAAATGAAACATACGAGCGCAAATGGATCAGTTTCTGGATATGTCAAGTAGACGTCAAGTAGTTCAGACGAAGAAGACGTAATTGTCTATTATCAATACAACAGAGTACGAAGAAATAGGAAGGGAACATTGGTGTCATCCTTACGTAGAGAAAAATATGAACTCCAAGCTGTTCGTAGCAGCAGAATAATTTGAATCAAACAGACAGTATTTATATCATTCCAAAGTTTCTTACTACAAAAGTCAGGTTTACTTCTTGATCACTCATGGTCACTCCAGGAAAATACGCAAATGATTGATGTGAAAAGGTACAACCAGGCAACTGAAACCGTTTTGTGACTGGGAAGAATGATCAACGCAACCAGTTGGATACTGATTTTAAATTGGTCTCGACTCACGTCTGGATCCCTTTTCCCATATTCGAGCAAGGTCGCCAAACATTAGTATATACAACTGATTTGAAACTGAAAAGGGTTGCAACCCAGTCGACCCGTGTGCAGACGGTCTTAAGTTCGCCGTTTCTGGAGCTTTACGGAATATCGCCTCAGCAGGCCTCAACCCCCACTTATTTTTTTCGAGCGCCTGAAGAATCAGCTTCCCGGTTCGAGACAAAGTTGTATGCACATGGTGAAATTTTGAAAGGTCAGAGGTGATTGTGCGGTTCACATTTGCTTTCTTAAGTCAGGTGACAAATTGGAGCAGCTCGTACCCGATATACTGGCATTTGAACTACTCCTTTAATGTGTCATAGATATACAGCTAATACCAGAAAAAAGAACTACTCCGGCGGTCCATGGCTTATCTATTAATTGTAACATTGTAGAGAGGAAACAGAAGTGTATCTAATGTTTTTCATTTTAAAATTTGTGGTTATAGGACTTGTATGACAAAGATAGGTTCAAGTAAATTATGAACCTACATTCGGACGGATACCGTCTGGTATTGTAATGTTAAATGCTAAAAATAACGACAGAAACGATTGATTGTATATAAAAATTCGTGATTCGTTGGTTCGCCACCGTCGAAACTAAAGGTGATATGGTAAATATAAAGGTGTACGGATAGAAAAATGTTTGACTTACCTCGAAAAGGGGTAACTGAGATAGATGAGAGAATAAAAAATCGAGAAGACGCTAAGTGCGAACAAGGCTGCGACGCATCTTTTGACAGTCAGCTGTTTGAACACTCTTGTGTGTCTCCTAAACACACAGACTTTGAGGGGTGGCACTTGCCTCCCTACCAGGTACTCTCTATCAAGCATCCCCTCATCCTCTACATCATCAACACGCTCTCCGCCCTGTATAAAATAAAAAAAAATCTTTAGATATCAAACGGTCAATGAACTCCGCTGTACACAATTTAATCGTATATTTGATAATTTTTGTTCTCAGATGAGTCTTTCGCGCGGGATTCGAACCTACGACCTTCGACAATACACCGCTAATCTAACCTCTCAAGACAGCCCAAGTGGTAGGAGCAGCGGCATATTGAGCCGAAGGTAGTTGGTTACCTTAGATAAAAAGAATAATTAATTGAAATAATTAAAATAAATTTAAAAAGAGCTACAATACCATGCAGTTTAATGGGGACACACACAGTGTGGCATAGGGTAGGAGGAAAATGACATTGTTACTCGCGTGCTATGCTAGAAAACCTTATCCCGCTACATCTTTGAAATAGTACAATCTCATCGTTAAGAGAAATATTTGACTTTTGAACAATAGGAACGTAGCAAGTATCAGTTGTCAATATGTGACTGAACTATTTCATTGATGAAGTAAAATCTAAAAAAGAAAATATGGACTTATACAGTCCGCTGAAGAGAAAACGTCAAGTAAAATGTGCATTATATCGCCGTATGTTGAACGTTAATTACGGTACCATATACCATCATTCGCAGACCGAATTTATTTTCGTCAAGTTGACCTTAGTTGAATGATACGCTCCCTTTCTTGATGATTTCACTGGCACAGTTATAGAAACATCTAACTTGGAAAATCGCGACACCATTTGAGCTATATCTTTAGTTTATTGGGGAACATTTTCTCGCCTTTCGTCCACTTACATCTCCTCCAGGGACAGTCATCACTCCCATCAATCTTAATCGTTTAACTCGATGCCAAATCTTTCAACCCCGTTAATCCATCAAATGATTCACTCATCCCCTTAGAACTCCCGCTTAGTCCGTTCAGCTTTCAGCTTTTCATCGACTGTACGCGTAATTACTTTGTTATCCTCCTTTGTGTAGTCCACGAACAAATGTGATAGAATAAAGGATAATATAGATGGAATAAAATCGACTGATGAAATTCGTAAAATTAAATTAAAATTAGAAAGGATAACTCGCTACCTTTTGTTTAAATGTTCTTAATATTTAGGCCCCAATAACACCATTTATTTTACAACATAAATTCTTAGACATAGGGACTGACTACATGATCCCGGAAACATCCTATAAAGTCTCAACAGACAACAAAGAGAAAGAAGAATTCAGTAGAATATCAGATGCAATGATATGGTAATGGTGGCTCCAAAAAACATGAAGGAACAGGATCAGGCGTTTTTTTAAATCTGAGCGATCAAACTATTAGGGAAGTACAGTTCGCTCTTTCAAGCAGAAATACATGCAAATACATGGCTCTATAAAATCTTAAAAGTGGTTATACTGGCAAACAAATCCTCATAAGATCGTATAGCCAAAAATGCTATTAAAGCACTAGCAGGTAAAAAATCACTTAAACGCTGTCAGTGAATGCTTGCAAAACCTCCAAAACCAGGGGAAACCTAAGAACATGCTAATATCTTGGGTACCAGGACACAAGTGAATTTTGGATAATGAAAAAGCTCACTGCCTTGAGGAGGATCGGCAAGGCCCTGAACCTATTCTTAGGATAACAAAACAAACATCATAAAATGGAGACAAAATAGACAAAAGGAGAAATGGATAAACACTGGGAGCGCTAGACACAGTCAACTTTTGCTAAAACAACCCTCACCAAGGGGGGTCCAAATTTCCCAGTCTCCCAAACTCACTGTTACAATTAGAGAGGGCGACACAGGAGTGATAGGACTATTAATCGGTCAGTGACATCTGAAAACAATCTACACAACACGGGCATATTCAATATGATCCCAACTGTAGATTATGCAACGAGGAGGAAGAAACAACCATCCATCATGTTCAATCGCCCAATGGAGACGTAACCGGGATACAAAGAAACCCCAGGTTATGTAGCAATGGCAGTCAATGGCCCAGTATTCCTTAAAAGAAGGATCGAATCGACAGACCCAATTAAGGAACTGGGAAAGTACAATTACCCATAAGCCTGCAGTGTTTGGGAAACATACCTTCACATCGTCTCCATTCAAAATCATCACGACACCCAAGGGCAAAGTGATGGTGGTTGTTGATCTGTGAATCGGTGAACACTAGAGTTCTTCAGTGAAGTTGGCGAAAGCCGAAACGCGTCGGAGTGGTATATAAACTCGCGAAAGAGTAGACAGATCCAGGATGATCAGTGCCGATTTGGTTAATGAGGGTAATATGACGTTATGACAGAATTATTTTTAATTAAATATTCTGCACAATAGGTTGATATCGGCCGCGGAGCACAGGTCTAAAAGAGGCTGACACGTAATAACCTATTCCTTAATTATTTATTTATGAAAGTTATAGGAATGTTATGATTTATCTGAAAACTCAGGAAGGCAGATGGACTTTCTTAAGCGGCCTGAACTGTTAGGATTATAAAAGATTAAAAAGTTCTAATATAAAATACGGTTTATAAAACATCATCTTACGGAATTGATAAGCAATTTTTTTATTAACGTTTTTCCAACCTTTCCTTCTTTTTCCAGACCAAACAACGTTTCTCGTAAAATATTTATTAAGTGTTGGAATAGACAAACGAACCCCAATTTAGGATTGATGGTAGGCCGGAAACAAGAAATAATCATCCGGAGGGAAAGATACGAAGAAAGTAAGGCGTTAGTAAGATGTATAACATAGCACTTGCCGTAAAAGGACTTTTTTTTAAGGGGTTTAAAGCGGTTTGTTAAACTTGCAATTTGTTTGTACAAGTTCAGGACTTTCTGGTACCTTCATTCTAATAAGCTGTTGGACACCTTCTTAACAGTGGGGTGGAAGATGTTCGGGCTGTCTGCCCTAATTAGGCCGTTTTAGAAAAATTGGTTTTCGGTTAATATTGATACAGAGCATTCTGTCTCTAAAGGCGGTACGAAATACGGTTCGTTATTTAACGGGCAATTTTAAACTTAAGTTAATAACATTATTAATTAATCTTTTTTTTAAATTCAAGATTATTCGATATATCATGTTTCTTTGAGAGCAATAGGCATTGCTGACACAAGAATACTTGCTCCTGGGCCAAAGCCTGCGGAGGTGCCCCTTATGCAGAGAAGGTTGCTCGATGTGCCCTACAAAATAGAAGCTTGTCATGCCTTGGTTCCTTACAGAGAACGTGTAGGCTTGCCGCCGAATTTAAGAATGGTTTTCGGGCAGAGCAGCGGGTTTCTGGGGGGGGGTCCACTGTTCGACTTTTTAGTTTTTATTGTATATACATATGATTTATATATTTTGTTTGACTGCGTGTATTTGTTAGAGTGAGTAGTGAGGGGCTGATGGTGAAATATATTGTCACCATCGACCTTCCAGCAGAGTGTGATATTTATAAAAGTACCCCATCGACCCTGAGTTAGTTTAGAAAAATTAGATTTTTTTAACGAGGGTTCGTAGAGGTCATACAAACCCTCAGAGTGCAGGTGTTTTAAAAGCAAAACCCATTTGTAAGCATGTCCGGCTCGAATGCAGGGCAAGTGGATTCGAACCCGGGACCTTTACCTTACATTGATGAGCGCCGTGTCAACGCCTAAACTGCGGCTACCGACGCCTTATATATATGGGAAGTTTATGGGCCGATAAACAGCTGAGGTCATCGCCGGCCCTCTGCGTGTTTTCCATATTTTTCTTTTCTTTCGCGCATATTTTGTTTTAAACTGCAGCCATTTGAGCGTCTCGATCTGGTTACTGACTCTGATGTCAGATATATACTACGTTGATATTCTAGAATGCTAGTCTCTCATTTGTACCTCAGGTTGTCAAATACAGAATAAAAACAAAACATACAATACATATATATACATCACCACAAACATAGATGTCTGGTCACATTCATTCCTCCAGAGTACTCGATATTCCTCGGGGCGGGGTTATAAGGAACCCTTTCCTTTCACGCTAATAAATTACATTCATTACGATAAATTAACACAAACACAACACTCGATAGAAACATAGAGGTCTGGTCACTTTCACTCCCCCAAAGTATTCGATATTCCTCGGGGCGGGGTTAAATCACCCCTACCGACGCCTTAATAATTAGATTATTAATGCTGTATGTAGGCCGATGGAGGAATATCAAGTACTCTACCGACTAATCAGAATGAATGTACTGTAATGTACATAGGTGTGAATGCATTTATTTGTGCGATTGTATTAGTTTTAGGTACTTAGGTGACGAAAGCTCCCGTTGGAGCATAACCCCGTTGGTTGGGAAGCGACGATCTCCAGGGCATCTGGCTTAAGCGAGATACCGCTGTCCCAGCCGAATAACGGGGTAGGCCAACTGCCCTGAGGTAGAGTAGGACTGGATACCGGGGTGGTAGGTATAGGCACCCTTTCTCCACTTCGATTACTAAGCCTACCACTGTATTTAACTTGCAAGTTTTGCGGTGGGATTGTTGAAAGGATTTCATCATTTAAACAGGCGCCAGTAAGACGGAGTGACAAACGATCCTTTGTCACTTCCAATCTACCTGTTTGTCAATCGTCTTTTGTTTCAAGTTGTGCGCTGTTTTATCCCGGGCTGATTGGAGACGACTTCGTTCTGACTTTTTCCGGCTGTTGAAGGGTTCCCGACTCCCGACACACCGTCCAGACGTTTCCCTTTGTGGGCGTAGGACGGGGCCAAATAAGACAATGGCCCCAGGGCTGGCTCGAGCCCTAATGATTGCCATTCCTCCAGCGACAAAGCGCCAACGTACAATAGTCCGACACACAATTCGTCTATTAATTATTTGCTAATCCCTGCCGATAATCTGCAGCCGTTTTAAATCACCCGTGCTCTAGTCGCTCCCGGCACTTCCGACCACAAAGGACCTTCTCTAATCTCGACACAAATGGATAGCCCAGCTCTCAATAGAATTCCCTTCGGAATCGCCTGGCATTATCAAACTAAGCATTCAAGTAACGTCTCTCACGTTTGGATAATAATGTAAAACCAAATGCAGAAGATTTTATTAATATTAAATTCTTAATGGAGATTTAAAACTTTTAATAATATTAACATACACTCGCAAACCTTTACATTGGCAAAGTTTCTGTTACAAGTGTTAATATATCCGCCACTTGTTTTACTCACAAATAATCTAAATTTCGGTGTTTAAAAACAAATTGTTAACTGCCAAGCTTTCGACCTATTTTAAGGTCATCGTCAGGGGCGTCGGTGGCCGCAACGTTTTAGGCGGTGACACGGCGCTTATTTGTAAGGTAAAGGTCCCGGGTTCGAATCCAGCGGCCCTGCATTCGAACCCTACATACTTACAAATGGGCTGCACCGGCACGCACTCCGACCGGTTCAAATAATCGTAATTGAAAAAAAAAATGTGTTTAATTTATGTGATAGGCCGTGAAGGAATGGCATGGATATATAGGTTTGTCTGCATTTGATAGATTTGATGTAGTATTATTAGCAATAGTGGATGTTGTTAGTGTTGAGTTGTAATTGTTGATTATTCTGTTGATTATGTGTTTAGGGTAGTGATTGTTATGTAGGATATGTTTGTATATCTTTATGTTCTTGCGGTGAAAAGATTCATGGCTTAATGCATAATTTAAACAATGTTTGTATATCCCAGGCTTTCCTTTCCCTAATTATCCCCTCTATATAATCCTGAAAGGATAATCAGGCCGAACCATTACCAATTCTTTCCTATTGTAGGCTCCTTTTACCTCAAAGAAGCCGACTCCTCATATAAAAGTGTCTTTATTCAAAAGGTGGGGTTGAGATAGTCGAAGGTCTCAATCAATATTTTACATTAAGGTTTTTAGTTGAGATAAAAATGGCAATTGAAAAATGGCAAAAAGGAGGGAAAATTCAAAAGGTGGGGTTGAGATGGGAAGTTAGTGTCGAGGTCACGATAGCTCAATGGTAGAGCAGCGGCGTATCTAGCCGAAGATCGTGGGTTCCAATCCCGCTCGTGCCATTGACTTTTTTATCTCAACTAAAAACCTTTATTAATTGTTATATATTAATTGGTCAAGCGGCCACGAAATTAGTGAATTTTACATAAAGATCAATTAACTGAATAAAGTTATTTGGTCAATAATGGAATCCACGAACTCTAATGGATTTAATAAGTAAAATGAAGTATATCTTCACTAACGCTCTCTATGGTCATTTCATTTGTTGCCGACAATCAAATGGATTACACGACTTAAAAAATGGCAAAAAGAGGAAAAATTCGAAAGGCTGTAGGTTGAGATGGGGAGTTGGTGACCGAGTGGATCGAAGTCACGATAGCTCAAGTGGTAGAGTGGTGGCGTATTTAGCCGAAGGTCGTGGGTTCGAATCCCGCTCGTGACACTGGCTTTTTTATCTCAACCAATATCTTACATAAATGATTATTTGTAGGTCGTAAGATGCGGTCTAGTGTGACGACATCTCACGACTGTCACTAAACACCACACACACCTAACATAAAGATCATTTAATTGAAAGAAGTTATTTGGTCAATCGGAGCACGAACTCTAATGGATTGAATAAATATTATATATTTGTCTGTGCGAGTAAAAATTTATATTAAAAATTTCAATTTAGTTAAAGTAAGTTAAGTTTACCAGTTTTTTCCCGCAACAGTAGAGGTCATGTCAACCCTTTGGGTGTCGGTGTTTTTAAAAATAGGCCCATTTGTAAGTATGTCGGTTCGGCTGTAGGACAGCTGGATTTGAACCCTGGACCTTACAGGGATGGACACTGTGTCAACGCGTTAACCTTCCGGCCATACACACATTTCCTCCCTTTTTGCCTTCCCCAGTTTCCGTGTTTATTTTTAAACCATGAACAATATTTTCATTTCTATGTCGATCAGAATGCATATCTGTATTCCCAGCGTTTTCAACTACCTGATATACGAAGTATAGGATATAATAATCAAGTTCTTAAACCCTTGGAAGATCTTGTAGACGATTCGACGTCCAAAGAACGAGTAATTTGATATTTCTACCCACAGACTAAAAAAACTATATAAACACTGTTAAACCTACGCAGTTTTGAGTAAAATTTCTTACTCACCCAATGTTGTTATTGTCCCAATGTTGTCGTCTAATAACTTTTCACCCTATCATGGAAACGTCTTTTTACAATGCAGATCCCTCGTGTGTGGCAGGACGTCTCCCGAAAGGAGAAGAAAAAAAAATCCTCACCGTCGTAGTTTACAAGTCGACAGGAAACGTAATTTGTGCGCGGACGGTGGAACGGATAGAAGGGAAGTTTTTATTGAGACGATTTATTTGTGTGCGAAGGGCGCCAGCGGTGAATAATATTTGTTTAAGTCGGTTGACAAAACTGGAAGGCAGAAAACTTTCGGCGAGCCCTTTTCAGGGCGACGGCCGGGGGAATTTATGTCTTCCTCGGACCGTCGGTCGGTAGGCCGAAAGCCGCGGATATCGAAGAAAATAATAGAGGACGAAATGGGAGAAACAGAAACTCAGTTTCTCGGCGAAAACAAGTGGTTATAAATTACGAAAATGGAAGGACCGGAGGTTAAAAGGGCGGAGGTGAATGAATGCCGGTGGAAAACGAATGTAGACTTCCACTGGCCAATAGGGCATTCCATCCTCTCTCCCCGATTAACCCATTATCCGCAACGACTGCCCTTTCGTTTTACAAATCGATCTACCATTTTTTAAACTTTAAAATAACACTTGAACACAGTCGACAGTTTGAAATCAACTACCGTTCGATATAGCAACCGGGACGAATTTAATCGGTTTGTAAAGATAACGATTTGAGTAATATCTCAATTTCCTCCGTTTGGATCTCGTCTGTTCAACGATAAATATAAAATGAGATAAGATAATATAAAATCAGTAAACATGAGTGATCTTTTAAAAAATTGACGAGATTTTCAGATCCAAAACAGATACAAATACTGAAGTCTGAAGCAGCAAATATGGAAAAGTCTTACATGAAAAAAATACTTGTATATAGGAAAATTGAAAAAGCAAATATGAAGTCTCCTATTTAAAAAATACTCGTATTACAGCAAAACTGAAATAAGCAAATATGAAGAATCTAATACATAAAAAAATACTTGTATTATAGAAAATTGAAAAAGAAAATATGAAGTCTTATATTCAAAAAAATACTCGCATTACAGCAAAACTGAAAAAAAGCAAATACGAAGAGTCTAATATACAAAAGAAAAAAAATACTTGTATTTTAGTAAATTGAATAAGCAAAATGAAGTCTTATATTCAAAAAAATACTCGTATTACAGCAAAACTGAAAAAAGCAAATATGAAGAGTCTAATATACAAAAGAAAAAAAATACTTGTATTTTAGTAAATTGAATAAGCAAAATGAAGTCTTATATTAAAAAAAAATACTCGCATTACAGGAAAACCGAAAACAGCAAATATAGAAAAGTCTTACATGAAAAAAATACTTGTATTATAGAAAATTGAATAAACAAAATGAAGTCTTATATTAAAAAAATACTCGTATTACAACAAAACTGAAAAAAACAAATATGAAGTCTAATAAAAAAAAAAATAAATAAATAAAAAAATACATGTGTTATAGGAATATTTTTTTATATTAGACTTCATATTTGTTTTTTTTAAGTTTTGCTGTAATAAGAGTATTTTTTTAATATAGGACTCTTCATATTTGATTTTTTAATTTTCTATAGTGTTACAATATATTAAAAAAATATTTGGTAATTGTAGACCTTTTGTCTATGGATTATTCGGAAATCGTGAGATGCTGTCTGGTGTGATGTATGTTTTACAAAAACATTTTCTTTATCGAGCCAACGTTTCGATCTTTATTGAGATCATCTTCAGGGTGTTTATTTTCTGCGTAATTGTGCCATTCTTGTGTGTCGTGTTGAGAGTCAATGTTTACCATGGTATTCTAAACCTCAATTTTCGAAAGTTGGCACAAGAAAACCCGAATCAAGTATACATGACATCCCAAGTTCTGTGCCATAACTTTCTTATTATTTGACCAATTTAAAATCTGATTATACCAACGTTTTAAAGAAAGAAAAAAAATTAAAACAGTTGATAATAAAGTATACGTTCTCATTTAAAATTTCAATGGTCTACTGGCGGCAGTGAAGTACCCTGGCGGTTTATATTTTAAAAAAGCAGTAAAAAGTTAAAACTAGTCTAAAAAATATTAAATACATATTTTTTTCGATAACGTTATGCGCTCAAAAGAAATGAAGCCCGGCCATCTAAAAAGGACACCCTACATATTACAAAAAGAGCTTGACATCCTTTTTATCTCCGACGAAAGGTTTTCACACCGTGGGCCGTGGTACTTATAAAAAAAACTTCTTTATATAAATGCCCATGGGTTCCGCCTCATATATGTATATTCTACTCCCCTACCTTCAATGAGTCTACCTTGTAATATATTTTTCTCACTCTGACCCGATCACACCTGATAGAAATACTCCAAAAATACATTTCTAAACTGAAAAAACTTGTATAAATTTGGAAAGACTATATCATGAGATATTTAAGAGGCACTGAATATTTATTTAGAAATCAAATTACGGTTTTTCAAGTGTACTCGGAAGGTAAACTCCTTGGGTCTGTTACGAGTTACTTTTTCGATTGCTTGACCAAACTCCCTTACAGGAAAAACGATGGATATACAAGGCAATATTGAAACCGACGTGGGTTTGCAAACAAGCCGAACGATCCAATATCCAAACAATCCAATCCCTACAATCATCGCAAAATTGACGAGGCTACTTTCTATGTATGCAGCCATGCCACCCTCAATATCCCTTTCGTCCGTAACCTGGCACAAAGCCGATATCTTAGATACACTCCAGTCACGTTCTAGTCAACCTACTCAACTCTTTAGGCGTATGAAAAAAATTCGGACATTCAATGATCATATTCTATACCACTGATTACTGGAACATCACCAACGGATGATATAGCATACCGTAACGCAACCATCGTCATCTCGATTCATATGAGAATACCTTACTCTTGTTCACGCCAATGCTAATTTTATGACTAACAGTTTGTCAATTGTGTATTAGTTTAATTATTTGCAGTTTTAATCAATCAATTTATAACTTATGATATATAACATAAAAATAAAACTGAAATCACTGGAATAATTTGGCACAAAAAAATAAAAAAGATTTATTATACACTGACAGGCAAAAAATTCCACCCACTTGTAATATAACTTAATTTGTACATTTTTTATATACTAATCAAAGTTTCACGGTTTTTGATGTTTAATAATTGGGTCTTTGTCTAAAACAGCAAAAAAAAAGTGAAAATTGCCAAGCAAAAAATTACTTAAGAAGAACAGATAATTTTTTTAAAATGTTGTTTTAGATTTTTAATTAACATTTCAATATCGCCTATTTCCTCCTCTTGCCTTAATTACATCTTGAAGATGCCTCGGCTACCTACCAGTCTGGAAATGTCTCTTTGCCGGAGGTTGGCCCATTCTTCAGTTGAGTTGATCAGGTTGGGGAATGGAGCCAAATCAACTGAACTACAGGCGCAAGCATCTTTCCAGCCCAAATGCTTGCAATTGCGGTTGGATTCGTAGTGGTACGTGGTGAGACCCCTGGCGGGTACTCGGAGAGAGACGGCTATCCGTTGTTCTGGTAATCGGAGCACATACACTGGGTAGCCGCACTCATCTGGGGGTGGTTGGCATTTCCACTTAAAACCAAAGCCGTCGTCGGAACGCATCCGGAAGTCCCTACGCTAGGGGGGCCCCTCCACTCGGGCCGCCTTCTCTATCTACGGGGGTACGGCGGAGGTTCGGATCGAATTCGTTCGGCCCTTGAACCAAGCGCTGTGCGGCACACGGTAAGGTGCACTGTTTGGCTGACCCACCCCCTCGGACGGGGCAAGTGAGAAGAAGAAGGCTGTTTGGGTCCCTAGGGTGTGGACGGTTTGTCTACACCTAGCTCGCGAGCATGGCACTAACCGCACGTGAGCAGAGGTGCGTCGCCTCCCACCTTGGGAAACAAACGTCTGATAAGGCCTTGTGCCAGATGCGGACGATAAAGAACCTCATCGTCTTTCTCAAGACGATGCGACTCGAAAGGGAACTTCATGGCCCACTCTTCACGAGTCCTTTTAAGATCGTGGAGTGTATCAGGAAGTGATGGTCGTGCTCTATTCATCTTTTGAGGTTATCTCGTAAGTGTTCGATGGGGTTCAAGTCTGGAGAACGGGCTGGCCAGGCTAAGACCCTGATGTTATGCTGTTGAACGTACGTTTGTACTATGCGAGCGACTTGCGGACGGGCATGGTCGAGCATTAAAATATGACTGTCGCTGATTTCATCGAGGATAAGCAACGAATGATGTTTCGAAATTTCATCCACATAGCGAGTGGCCGTCAAAGACCCTCCACAAAAACAACCAAATCTGTGTGACTCTCCATTGAAATGTCCGCCCACACCATCACTGAGCAACAAGCCATCAGTCCCTACTGATTTAATCTTCTTCGAGTAGTGTTCAGCAGCAGAACTTCCTGGAGCTGATGAATCGCTTCAACAACAGTAAGGTACCGGTTTCAGTATAATTATCAAAGACAAAAAACGGGCATCCTATGGTTTTGTTACCCTAGGGCATCCATAACCGGCCTTCTAAGGTAGGACATAGTTTCTCGAAAACGTCTCGGCGTCTCGCAGTTTCCTATGAAACTCCGATGACCGTAGCCGCTACCTGATGGAACGTCCATCATCAATAAGTGCCACACCATGCGCAACACCGTCACTAAATGTCTTTTCTAAGTTAAAAATTGACATTAAGAAATCAAAGATGACAACTAAACAGTTTATTGCTTCCGAATTCAAATGAGTCTGAATAAATATTTTAAATTTCGTAAAAAGTAAACATTGAAAAATCCTTTATCCATGCTTTGGATTAAGGATTAAGTGTGTTTACATCTAATTGTTATTCCCAGTTTAAAACAGCATAAGCAAATGTTATTGGGAAAAACAATTAGACATTAAGGGCAGAATTTTCTTTTATCGTGAAAATGAAAAACAAAAATCAATTTGGGTGGAATTTTTTGCCTGTCGGTGTATGATCTTTAATACTGTACTCTATGGGAGATTTCTATTCATACATTACAAATATATTCGTATATATTTAGAGGATATTATGCTACTTTGGCAGAAGAAAAAATATCAGTCAAACTCCGAACGACACAAATAGCACTTTTGGAACGTCATGATGCAGACGAGGTGGCCATGCTCTAGGCCATAACCACTGCGATCCGGCCATCTGAAGCTAAAAATGCGATAAAGCACGATTAAAAGAAAATGGTAGCGTCGATGGGCCGGATAGGTAGAGAAGTATAATGCGTTTCAATAGCACTGCGATAGGAGGCCCTCGGAGGACCTCACTCGTAGAAAAAAGCACATCATCAGGGGTCATCCTCACCCGATTAAGAATAATATTCCATGGGAGGTTGACACGCGGACACTTACTTTTGGTGCAATGCCTCCTTATCAGGCATGTAGAGAAAGCTTGCTCGATGGTCCCACATAGTTGAAAGGTCCTTGGCTCCATATAGAGAGCGTATAGGAATACCATCCGACATGAGAATCGTGCTTAAGCTCGGCAGCAAATCTTTGGATGTCCTGTTGTGATTTTTAGAGGAATAAGGGTCTTTTTGTGCACTTAACGTGTGTTGAGAGTGAATATATTTATTGGGGTGCATGTGTGAGAGGGTCGATGGAG